TTTATATTCTCTCTTTGGTACTTATTACTCTCACTTGCATGTCGTCTCCTTCGCACGTATTTTATTTTTAACCTTTGCGTAAATACTTTTTTTAATATGCGCCAATTATTTTTTTCATACACGTCATAATTTTATCCTCTTTCTGAAATTTATTTTTAATAAAACAGTAAGCTGAACGTCGACCTCAGTGTTACTATATAATGGACTCTGTCTAACTTAAGGCTGTCCAGTTCACTCTCTCTGATATAAAATTTGAATTTATCATAATTACACGTCTTTTTTGACCAACTGACAACATAAAATTAAAATAAATAAAGAAATAACAATATTTCTTCTTCTTGAAGAGAAACAATCCAAGGTGGTAGCTTCATAAAGTCATGCCTAACTTGACGCTACACATTCAAAAGCTTTGTTGGGCGATACCATAGGTAGTGGATAGAGATAGCGCCCGTAGTAGTGATCTACTCTGGCGACTTTTCATTCAGTTTACCCACAAAGTATAAACCCGGTAGCGATTTAATGAGAACTGATACTTGATAATAAACGAACCAATATTATCATCGTCAGTCAAATCATTGGTATGGTATGGGCACTCTCACCTTTTGCCACAACATTAATTAACTCTCTTTTTTTTTGTTACCAGGTCAACATGCTTTGAATCAATATGCATCAAGGCTCATGAAATGGTTAAATTTTACCAAGTCAGGTGTTCTATACACAGCATCTAGTGCAAGAAATTCAAATTCTCTGCCATCTATCGTTGTAGAAGCTCAGTACACTGGATATATGTCCTTTTATCATCGATTGATTATGGTTTATCGATAACGAAACGACATTCAGCTTTGCCAGCTGTACTTGCCATTATCATTCACAATACCACGACAGAATTGACTAATCTTGCTGTTGCCTCGAAAAAGTGATCTTTTCTTTTGGAACTGCCTTGCCATGGTTGGACAAAATTCTGCTACTTGCTCAATTCCTTATCAATCTTTGATTATTTGTAACACACTCCTCTCAATCCACTCGTCGCTCTGGGGCATTTTCTGATCCAGTAAAGGCCATCGCTGCGATTTATTGATCCAAAGAAAGATCCATCGAAGAAGCTAATTTGCCAACGCTTACATTTGCAGGAGTGCAAATTGCAACGTCGAAATCAAGAACGATTAGCACGTTTAGCCAATGTCATAGGCCGTCCATAGGCACATTTACGACTCTTGAAGAAAGCACCCTGCTCTTTCAAGTACCGATCAAATAATTGTTACTAATCATAAACAAATGTAGTAAACTAAATATACATACTGCAAAGCAAGTTTAGTAGTACGAACGATTTCGAAAATGGCAAAAAGCCTGGCATACCAGTAGCAGACTTCAAGGACAGTAGAGAAAGTGATATTCAACAATAAAATAAGGAAAGGTTATGCAGATGTACTATAGCTATCAGCAAATTTGACGACATTTTGGTAAAGGATATCTGTTTTAATAAAATTTAACTGATATTAGCACATACGCCCCTCTCTTTTAATACTTTTTTATTTACAGGTTAAAGTGTGTCTAATAAACTAAAGAGATTATTGCTAGATACGCTTTTTATAGATTTCACTTTCTTTTCTGGTCGGCGAGATCGCTGCTTATTTAGTCTTTTTGGTTTTTCAGTAGAGATTACGTTTGTATCTTGAATATTATAATCAAACACATCCAAAATTTCAGTCCTAAAGTCCTTTATGACCATTCTATAGGTTTTGAAGAAAAGCTGCAAAAAGTCTGGAGAAGTATCGGACAGGATAGAGCCAAGACTAGACCCATTCTGTGTTTTCTCCAAATAATAATGAAAGTAAAGGCCATTATATATATATGCCAGTGGTGCTTGACAACCTAGGCTAAAGATTTGTGATAAAAGATACGATGAATAAATCACACCTTGGAATTGTGCAGCTAAATGAATCGTTCTTTTTTTCAAAACAAGAGTCTCCGTTGATGTTTTGGGTACTTGATGTTCATCAAAACCGAGAGTAGGAGCTAATGACCTAAGTGTAGCCACAATAATGCCAATGACTTCGTGGTTTTTTAACTGATCTTCTTCAGCAGAGTGTGCACAGTAGTAGATCATATACCGAAGGCATAGTATCAGATGGTACACTCCACTATCCATATTAGATACTTGCAGTTTTTCGCTCTTGTGTAGTTTAATAAAATGTGATTCTTTATCTTGTATTTTATTGCTTTCCTTAAAAGCAAATGAAACCGGCTCTAAATGCTGCTTTTCTCTTACATACTCTATAATTTGTTGCTCATGCATATACTCCCCCAAATAATTGTATACTTCTTGTCTTAATGCCTGGCTGATAGTCCAGCTTGATTTCCTCTCTACGTCTTCAAGGAATATACTTGTCCAGAACGTTTGGTTTTCCAACACATCCATAAGCTGCCTACTCCACGCTTCTTTTTGTTGCGTTTGCTTTATATGATGATCCTTACATATAGTTTTTGTTGAATAGCTGTCCTTATTCACCAATGGACTGTTTTGATCGTATCTTTGAATTGAATTATTGATGCAATCTTCAAGTTCAACAATCATGTCTGGATTATCACTTTTTTGATGCTTTTGAATAATAGGCACAAGTGCTCTCGTGATATTCGCGATAACATCTCCTTGACTATTCATCCTTATGAACTCTGCTACTATCTTTGGCCATTCACGCTGACTCTTGACTGACTGTATACCCTTACCACACCATTCTTGGATAGCAAGACGACATACAGTACCATCGAGATAGTCATTACCCAAGAGTGTGCCGACTAAAGGCAACATGTTCCGGTCTATCTTGAGTAAGACAGCTAGACGATCTGGATGAAATACAGTGGCTGATATAAACAACTGTTTGTGGCTTGCTTCTTCAGCTACAGGTACTTTTAACATATCCAACTGAATGTATCCTTTACCGATTTCAGGATACACATACATATCTGAATCCTGAGAGACAACATAGGCATTCTTTGCTTTCGCCATAGTCACGACTTCTCCATCTGCTTCTGCCTCACATATCTTTACGTACACGTCTAGTTCTCGGAGTGTCTGGATGATTGTTTCGAGCGTAAGTGGAGGTATTAAGAATAGTCCAGCTATATGCTGAGTTATACTAGAATCAGTCAGGATGACCTTGTTGATGGAGTCGAGATTTGACATTGCTGTAGCACAGCGCTGGATATATGACCGATGTCGCTTGATTCTTGTCTCTATCTTATCTGCTGGAAGTGCGCCGTCAAATAAAAAGGCCAAGGTAATGCCAGCCCTTGTCAAGGTTTGTACTGTTCTTTTGACAGCATTTGCAATTGTATTGTATTGACCTCCATAAATCCAATAAGATTGATGATTATAAGCACAATTATATACAAATGCATTGCCGTCAATGATGAATGTGTCATTTTTATTTTTGGCTGAATCCACTTTCCAATAGACTGATTCAGACAGAGTTGGATATGATTTTACAAAATGTGATAGTTTGCTAATTCCCATAAGACTAAAAAAGAAAAATAAGAATATTTATGTTCAGCTCCCCTTTAGGATATCTTTCTTGTATGATAGAATCATTGAACGTCCAAAAAAAAAAAAAAAGAAAAAGATAAATTGCTGGGTCACAATTTACCATTCATGCTACTCTTTTTTCTTTCTTTATTATTAAAAAATGGGTGCCGCATTAAGCTGCTTGGCATTACCTGCATTAACTTCTCTTGGCACATGGGTAGTCAGTTGTTTCTCTGCAGCTGCTTGCTCTTTAGCTTGTAAAAGGTAAAGAGAAAAAAAAAGAAAAAGACAAGAGTACCAAGTTTAAATAGCTGCAACTGCAACAACTCTGTGGCAACTCGTATTGGCTATGCAGTAAATATATATTTCATAAACTGATCTTTTTTTTTTTATTCATTATGCTTTTTAGATCATTTTTTTATTGAATTCTATTGTAAGAGAAAAGAAGAGGAATATTCATCACTTTATCAACAGATCAACTTTTATTAGATCGCCTGGCTTATGCTATCGAATTGGGCTATAAAGCAGATCCAAAAGCTACCTCTCGATTATTTGAAGCTCAACTGTACTGAAGGATCTTGTTATGGAATAATTGCAGTAAGTTTTTTCCACTTTATATGCATATTCCTAATGAATTCAGGTACATCGCATATGTTTTGCACTTGTCCTTTTTCATGCCTTATTGGGGCTTTTACTGCTGGGTGTACGCAACAGTGGACAACCTAGGTCATCCATTCAGAATGGTTGGTGGGGACCCAAGGTCTTGTGCTGGATGCTCTTGTTGGTAGCTTCCTTTTTTATACCAAATGAGTTCTTTCGAGTCTGGGGCAATTATTTCTCTCTTGCCGGAGCAGCGATCTTTATCCTATTTGGTCTTGTGCTTCTTGTTGATTTTGCGCACAGTTGGACTGAGAGATGTCTAGAGAATATGGAGTACTCTGATAAATGGAAATATATCTTGATTGGAGGTACTCTGTTCCTGTATGCAGCCGCCATCACATTGACGGGTATCATGTACGGGTTCTTTACGCCAAATGGATGTTCATTGAACCAGTTCTTTGTTACTCTCAATATGATCTTGAGTCTGTTAATCACCTTTTTATGCATCACTCCTTCCGTACAAGAGGCAAATCATCGATCTGGCTTATCACAATCATCCATCGTGGTCATCTATTGCACCTATCTCGTTTTGTCTGCTGTGGCAAATGAGCCTAATGATAAAGAGTGCAACCCTTTAAGAAAATCTCAGGGTCCTCAAACAACATCGATCGTCTTGGGTGCACTATTTACATTTTTGGCTATTGCCTATTCTACAAGCCGAGCAGCTACTCAGGGTTAGAGTCAAAAAAGAAGAAGAAGAAGAAAAAAGGATAATGCTTAACCATGTTCTTTTCTTATTTAAATAGGTGTCGAAGGAGTCACTGAGAGCTCATCCAGGGAGCATCTAATAGCTGCTGTAGAAAACGGGTAAGTTAAACAAAACAAATAGCTGATTATTATTAAGTTATTTCAGAACTCTCCCGAGATCTGCTTTATACAAAGATGATGATCAAGATGATAATGATGATGAACGCGATGATGAACGTTATGGGGCTGTATACAACTACTCTTTTTTCCATTTTACTTTTGCAATTGCGGCAATGTACGTTGCTATGCTTTTAACCAATTGGTAAGCGAGAAGTAAATAGATAAACCTCTGCTCTAAACTTCTTGGGATAGGAACACAATCATCTCAGAACAACCTAATTCTCAAGATGACTCGCTCATCCGTATTGGTCAAAGCTACACTGCTGTTTGGGTTAAGGTTGTGTCTGGATGGATATGCTATGGTCTGTACATTTGGAGTTTAGTAGCTCCTGTGTTAATGCCGGATCGATTTTTGGTAAGTCAGAATGATAGGTAATATGTGTCTCTAACTCTGAAGTAGGATACATATTAATATCGTTTATATACCACCCTCTCTCTTTTCATATCTTGCCCACTCATCATTTATATATATATATTTCTACTGCATCCCAAATAAACTATTTTGACAGTATTTTTTCCCTGACTTGGATAATACAGTGGATTTATTTCTTCTTTTTGCGATTAACAAGATTACCTTCATCATTTCGTTTTCTTGGACGCTTTCCATCTTCTATAAAAGGAGGATAAATATATAAATATATATATATATATGTAGCTGTATGTGTAAACTTGCCTCTTGTTGCAGGTATATCTGCATTTGATTTTGATACATCCTCTTGTTCTACTTGCTCTATTACTTGTCGTGATTGAGCAACTTTCATCGCTGATACTTCTATGGCTCTATCCATCCAGTGTCTTAGTGCCAGTGTTTCCTGTGCACGTAACACTGTGTTTGGTGATTTCTTTTGTTGATCTACGCTTGATTGTTTCCAATTATAGCCTTTGGAAGGATGGAATGTCATCATTTTTTGTGTTTCTTTGAAGGCGCTATTTACATGAAATAAGCTGGTCAACTATAAAGAAATCAATAAGAAATGTACAAAGAGTATAGCGGTGGTGCATATTACCAGCCTATTAGCAATAACAGAATATATAGTAGGTGATTGGTATACATTGGCTCCCATAATGTAATATGTAGCGATCGGATTGACATCATCCTCTGCTGGTCCTCTTCGGTATCTCTTTTGTATAACCCATACAGGTGGTTGTTCATGAACTATGGCAAACTCAATTCCTGTCATTTTTCTAATTCTCTATTTAGCAAATAGATCACTCTCTAAATCTTTTGATTTACCGAAGAGCCTGCACAGTAGCTTCATAAGGCTGCCTTAGGTCATTATATTGAGTCTGCATTGCTAACACTTGATTATTACATTGTCGATCCCAAAATGGTGAAAGAGCGAAATAATCCATCACTACTTGTTGATTCTGGAAACCGCCAACTCTCTATGCTATAGAGTTAATATACATTTTGAATACAAGCACTTGTATTTACTTCTAACCAATTCGTGTCACGCCATTCTACGCTTGTCAAATCTTCAGTTGCTGCTAATCTTTGCATATTTTGATAAAAAAAGAATAAAAAGACGATGACATAGTGCGGAGTTTTATGGATTTAAAGGTACTTACGCGTCGCTTTTATCCACTTTTTTTTCCCTTCTTTCTTTAGAGAAAACAATTACAGAATGGAAAGACTTCAACGTTTATTTGGATCTGCTGCTGCTGGTTTAGGACAGGTTTAATATTATTAAAAAGAATGTGTATAAAAGCAAACAACTAAATCTTACTTAGGGAATGCAACCTGGTATGGATACACCTACTGTAGACAATGCTGAAATGGTTTATATTTCGTCTTTGGCTCTTTTAAAGGTACTTGATTTGATCTAATAAAAGAGAAAAATGACACGCTAACGTCAATGATCTTCCTTTTTTAGATGTTGAAACACGGTACATTATAGCTACTTATTGCAAAAGAACAAAACATTAACAATGAAATTAGGTCGTGCTGGTGTCCCTATGGAAGTGATGGGTTTGATGCTGGGAGAATTTGTTGACGATTATACTGTTCGTGTTATTGACGTATTTGCTATGCCACAAAGCGGTACTGGTGTCTCAGTAGAAGCTGTCGACCCTGTTTTTCAGACCAAGATGTTAGACATGTTAAAGCAGACAGGCAGACCAGAGATGGTTGTTGGATGGTATCACTCTCATCCTGGTTTTGGCTGCTGGTTATCTAGCGTTGATATTAACACACAACAGGTAGATCATAAAAGCATAAAGCAAGACACGTGTACTTATTGAAGCTTTTTTCTAGAGCTTTGAACAATTGAATCCAAGAGCAGTTGCAGTTGTCGTAGATCCTATTCAATCAGTAAAGGGCAAAGTAGTGATTGATGCATTCCGACTTATCAACCCTCAAACAGTCATGCTTGGTCAAGAACCACGTCAGACAACCTCAAATATTGGTCATTTAAACAAGCCATCTATTCAAGCATTAATCCACGGCTTAAACAGACACTACTATTCGATTGCTATTAACTACAGAAAGAATGAATTAGAAGAAAAGATGTTACTCAATTTGCATAAAAAGGATTGGACTCATGGTCTGACATTAGACAACTTTACTGAGCATACTGAAATGAATGAAAAGAGCGTCGCCAGCATGTTGACACTAGCAGAAGCATACAACAAGTCTGTACAAGAAGAATTAACAATGACACCTGAACAACTCAAAACAAGGCATGTGGGTAAACAGGATCCCAAGCGTCACTTGGAGGATAAGGTTGAAGCAGTCATGGGTAACAACATTGTCATGGCATTGGGAACAATGATTGATAGCGTTAGTTTTTAAAAAAATAAATGTTTTTACTTTCTTTGCAAAAAAAAAGAAATGTAAAGTGAGCAAATTACTATTATTATTATTTATTAAAAAGAAAAAAGAAAACAGTTACAGTAATTGAAAGATTATTTGTATTTAGATTACTTGAATCGCAAATAGAAATTGACCTAATAAAAGAAGGAATTAATGTCAACAGATTCGTATTCAACTCATGAATAACTTACAATGAGAGCAATCACTAAAAGTAAACAGAGTAGTGCCGGACCCCAAAGATCATCATAACGTCCATCGATACGATGATTGATCATCCTATAAAGATAAATGAGATATATAATAAATACAATCATATTACAAACTAACCAGGCTCGTTTTTCAAATCGATACAGTGCATAGATGGCAATTCCTGCAGCCAGTCCAATAAAGATACCACCAACAATACGTGATACCATATCACCAAAATTTAACAAGTTTAAAGCAACAGTCAAAAGCAAAGCGCAAAACTGTAACCATGAGATGAAGGTACGTTCATTTGCAAAAAAGACCTTGGGTTCCACGCGCACTTTCATCTTTGGCTTCTTGATCTCATCCACCTTGGTACCAAGTTCGAGGTCATGGTTCCCTTTAGCGAATAATTTATGAAGAATAGACCTACTCTGTGACGAAGATGACGCTTGACTCCTTTTTTCTTGTTTTGCAGGTGGAACAGGCGGTAGACCCTGAAGCTGTTTTGATGTCTCTTGAGCAAAGGTCTGTAGGTTGACCTGAGTTTCTGAACTTTTATGAGAGCGACCAGATGTCCTTTCGGCTTGCTTGTTCACCACTGCTTCTTTATTTGCATTTTCCTGTTCTTCAATCATGGCCCTTCGATATTTACCATCAATTAAGGGCTTAAAACTACGTGACCGGGTCAGTCCTATATTTTCGGCTCTAGGTTTACGAATGTCTACGTTTAATTCAGATAGCCACCAGGGAAGCAGAGCCAATCGATCGCGATAAAAGTGACATGCACCATGCAGGTATTTGGAAAACCGAGGTACTTCATGTACTAGGTGACTTTCAACAAGAGATGTAAGCCATGCAGGCGGTTGCTGGCCCAGATGCGTCTGAAGCTTCGTTTCGAGGATAGCATACGGGAAAAGAAGACAATCGTCTTGTTTTATATTGTGAAATGGGTAATCAATACCTACGTCATTACGACGCCAATGATAACTAGGTTGTCTACGTTGAACGCCATCAAGATGGTCTTCACGGATAAAAGAAAGGTTTGTGTCCAGAGAAATTCGCAATCGTTGGTCATCTGGTAATTGGAATGCTGTACGGTTATAATACACTCGAAGCATGGGTTCAAGTTGCCGTTCCCTAAACGATCGTTGTATACCACTGGCCACAAAATGAACGTGATCAACAGCACTTTTGTCTGTGTTGGTTTGACTAAAGCCATGAGCAATTTCGTTTGCTGTTAAAGTGCCCTGAACAAATGAGTTCACTTGGCCTTCTTTCAACCTAAAGCGATCCTTGACTGAGGCTCCATCCAGCCATGAAGCATGATGTGTCTTTCGTTCAATGTAAATATTTGATTTATCATTTGTACCGTACCTAATAAACAAGTTAGTACAACCCTATTAAATAGATGGTTTTTTTTTTTTTGTTTTTTTACCATCGAAATCGAATAGCTTCTGATCCTTCATCTCTTTGTAAACGAGTGGTATAGAGGTCAAAATTTGGATTATCAAAATAAACACTAGAGATAGCCGAATCTACTGGCTCCCACTTTTTTTGCTTATTGTAGATGTAAACTGGTAAATGTAGCATGATGATTGCCTTTACTTCTGTTATATTATCAGGATGGATCCAGTACTTTGCCGTTGCTCTTTCAAACTCATTTTGATCTTCAAATGCAGTATCATCTATGGATTTCTTTCCACGATTGCGACAAATGTCGTGTAGTGCTGATATATAAATAATGGCAACATCAAACCGTTGTTTGTCCAAAGGCTTTTCTCTCAGCTTTTCTACAAAGGCCTGCTTTAATTGAAGTCCTGTCCATTTGTCATGCTTTTTTAAAATCTTTTGAAAGGCGACAAAGTTGAGACGGGTGAAGCGAGAGAGATCATTTACATCAAATAAAATTTCGGTAAGTGCTTCGTCCATTATGCTATAATTAGCATCAGAGGCCATTGCAGGATTTTTTTGTAGTGTCTGTATCGTTCGTTCACAGTAAAGGATACGCGCGTCTATCTCTGAGAGCTTTGCATTGACAAAATCGTATACTTTGGATAGTTCGTTATCTAGCATTTCAATGAATTCTTCCTCGTCCTTTGCAGTCCAGCCGTGGTCGAGTTGACGGTTCTTTAATTCGTGCTTGAGGCCATCATAAGCGACATAGGATAGTTTCCAAGGAGTGAATATGTTTTGCTGCAGCTCTTGTCCGTATTTCATATAATGTAAGAATAAAAAAAATAATATCAATGAAAGAGTTTTGCTTTCTCAAAAGGATACAAAAAAAAGGGCTACTTGTACAAGAAGAGAATGGTGGAGGAAAAGAAAGACAATGGATTTGCTAATCGCTAATTAAAGAGAGAAAAAAGGAGAGTATTTATACTAAATCAATGCGTTCAAAATAGGTTTTGGTCTTATATCTCATTTCGTTTCTGTTGTGTACGTACGCATTAATTAAAGGAGTAACTTGTTGTAGTATTGACACAACACTTTATCATTTTTCTTTATTTATGCTATTAACTTTTTCTATCCCTTTTTATATACTCTATAGTACGCTCATATGAGCCAATTCGTCATTGATGACTATTATAAATACATCATCTAAGTTCATAAAAGCAGAAAAGTTAAAGTACTACGGTTATCAATCGTCCCCTGATTGACATGGATGTTGTCCAATCGTATCTATCTGTCGCTTTACCCCTTTTCTCCTCACTTTTATAAATGAAAAAGTATGATCATTTGTTGTCTTCACAAGATATACTTTTGGCCCTTGTTTTTGATATCAATATTGAAGTTGCAAATGACTTCTTTTTAAGCATCATTCATCAATGGTAGTTAAAGAGAAAGATAATCTTGGTTTGTTGTGATTTTCTTTTTATTTTGATGGATGTTAATCAATTGATTGATTTCCTCATCTGTTACTGGTAGGCTTTTTAAATTAAAGCATCATCAATGTTTACATAATAATACCATTTTCTGTCTCATGCATGCATATTTACCAAGTACTATTTCTTTTCAGTCTAACCTAACCCCCCTCTCCTCTCTTCGGAAGATATTTCGGATATATGACTTTAAGCCGTTTATTGATAGAATAACCCCATATTGACTTCAATTATAAGTCTATTATATCATTGATCTTTGGACTATTGTATTACTTTGATTAAAATATCAATAAAACCTGATTTTATCAATTTTAACAGAGTTTTTAAATCTCTCTAACCATAGACATAGTTCAGCATTACTTCTATTTGACTTGACTCGGTTCAAGCACCCTAAAATAGGTTGCAGATTGCTTATGTCGAAGCTACCTCCCTTTGATATAGGTACGTAGTGGTCCAAAGTTAAAGATAGCTCTTTGTAAGTGATCCCATGTACCCAGGAGCCCATTGCACCACTGACAGCACATCTCCCATTTGAGCTCTTTATAATCTCTTTCAGTTCGCAAATGGTAGCTACTTCATGTTGATTTTCATAGCCTGGCTTCTTCTTTTGTCTTTTTTTCATGTTGTTGTGAAGATTTTTAACCTTTCTATGTAATTCGTTGCTGTTCATAAAGTAGTTATTATGGACCGTGACTATATGGCTTAGGTAACTGTTATAATCAAACTTTCTTTTCCCACTTTTACTAACAACTGTACAAAACACGTCGTCACTGCCTGCTATTATCCATGAATTCATGATGGCAACAATTTTGGGGTTATTCCAGTGTTTACCATAGAAACTAAAAAGAAGAGAGGAAGGTTACAAAAAGATACCAATCACCTTACAGCTTTTTTCTTACTGTCTGCAGCCAACGCACATTCTCTTGTTACTACCTGAGGGACGACTCAATATCATGGATGAGCCATGTGGACTGAGGATCTGGTGACACATGCAGCAGCGAGTGACATTGGTTTGATCAATCAGTGGATTGACTGTATCATTCGTATTGTTGATCAGATTACCGTATAGAGATGTAGTCATGGCCATAGTACGCTTTGAATTGTTTAATGAAAGGTATGGCTTTTTGAAGTGACTCATATGTCGTATAGGGTTGAGCAAATGCTGTGCGAGTGACACTTTGGTGATGTGCAGACGAGATGTGATAAGAGACATAGAATGAAGAAAAGGTGTGTTTTGAATGAATGAAGAAAATGAACCATTATATACCCTCTTGTGTAAGGAGCACCTGTTGCAATTGATATAAACTGGGGAATAAAGAAACTAGCCCTTGATCTGACCTTATCATGCACAACCAGCAATAAACCAACTGTATGTCTTTCCAAATTTAGACAACAATTAACAATGAACTATGAAGAGGTGCACGTTCCTATTTGGTAAGGAGTTTGATGCAATACGTACAGTTTGATAGGTAGTCTGCCTGATAGTGGTCATTAGTCAGTCTTGAAAGAGTCATGCACTTAATATTCAAAGAAGAGGTAGTGTGCTGACCTCTCCTTCTCTTCTCTCTCTCAGCGATAACGAATTGAAGTGTTCATTTACATTGTTTATATGCAGTCAAAATAATAATAAAAGGGTTGTAACGTTGTCATTAAGAGTGTATCCATCCTTCAAGTGCTATACTTGATTGATGAACACTTGTTTAATAAAAGGACTATTGCTAAAGAAATACAGTAGGCACATGCGTAACAGAGAGGATTTATATATAAACAAATTCTTGGTATACTAAGGATAAAGAAATAATCGCATTAACAGACCATTTATTGTATATTAGCATTGCATTAAAAGTTTACGATATATATATATATATATATACTTGGTGCAGTTAAAGAAGGTTAAGATGCCTTAAGTGAGAGAAGCGGGTTATTAGACATGCAAAAAGTATTACATTTGAAATGTTCAAATTTTATAGGAGCTGTCTTGATCTATCAAAATCTCTTATCTAACAGGCTGTGAAAGTTTCAAAGAGAGATGTACTTTTAGGTCTTTGCATTATTACCAGTGAGTCTATTTCGGTTAACAAAAGAGGTACAGATTGTCGAACGCGATGTTCTATTCCATATTTTTTAGTGAAATTTAACTACCAAAACAAGTGGAGACCAAAAAGAGGAAGAACTCCAGGAGAACAGGTGTAAAGGGAGTGTTTCTAGGCTTGGCCGGGAACTGATACACCGCAATATAGACTCAAATCGCATTGAATAGCTAGAAATGCTAATGATGATGTGCAGAAGCCTGGAAAGAATTGAAAAAAAAGAAGACATGGCAGAATGTAACTAAAGATGGTCCTGTCTTTTAGAAAGATACTCTTGTTTATATTTCTTTCCGCTTAATCTTTCTATTACTCAACCAATCTCAAATCAATTGACCCAAAGAATAACAGCCTGATTCTGGATACCATTATAATAAACAATTAAAGCGATTTAGCACGTTTGCTCTACCGTCCTTTTCTTTTGGTTTAAGTATCAATATTTCAAAATTATAAATGCTATAATCGTATTATTATTGTAAGTTTTTTATTGTAAGAGGCTGACTCCTTGATTACACATGTTTGAAATTAGTGCCTCTGCTTATTTACAGTCAAAATCAATACAAGTTTATTCAGTGTCATGAGCCCCAGTGTAATATAAAGGCAGTCTAGTACGGATTTGGGAGAATCCTTGTTCTTTCTTCAGAGAATAAAAGTGGGATACGAACGTAAAAGTTGAAAGCTAGAGCTGCTACAAGTAATACACACAATACACCTGGCCCGTAAATGTCATCGAGACGAAGATCTGTACGACCAGTTTGTAACCGAAATGCTCTGAAATGAAAACGAACAAGGGCATACCTACATAGCCGTCAGTATTAAGAACAAAAAAGCAAAGCTTGAAGCCTAGGGTTGGACTTACATAGATAAGAAGGCAGATAGCGAGAGGAAGACGGTGCCAACTATACGGGTTATACCATCACCGGTATTTAATAGCTTTAGTGCAATAGTAAGAAGCACGGCACAAAATTGAAGCCAAGTGAGAAATGTGCGTTCATTGGCAAAAAAGACTTTTGGGTCTTGTTTCGCTGGGTGGAAGGATGAGTATCTTGTCATAGTTCTTACAGGAGCTGAGGGGCCCACTGGCGAAGGGTTTTCTTCGTCGCTTTTCTCTTTCTTTCTTCTCTCCTTGTATCTTTGCACCATGCGGGATACAAAAGTTCGTCTAGATGTGATGCCTGGTTCATCGGTAAGCTCTGTTTTTTCTGGTATATCAACAAGCTGACCATGAATTCTATTTTCTTGGTTTATATGCACTCTGTTTGAAATAGGTGCATTAATCCTTCCCCTTTTATTGGTGTTGTCAAATCCCCAGTTGATTGATTCTAGTCTCTCTTTAAAAAGCGATTCTTCAACCTGTATCTTGAGGCTACCGCTATTGTTTTTTTCATCATTTTGCATCAGTGAGCGTCTGTGTCTACCGTTAAATAAAGCTTTAAAACTCTGCGACCTTGTTATTCCATCACGAGAGCCAGCAGGTTTTCGTATATTTTGGTCAAGTTGAGAAAGCCATGGTGGTAGTTCGTTGACAATATCCTTAAAGAGGTGGCTTACACCATGGACATATTTTGAAAAACTAGATACTTCGTGAACTATGTCACTGTTTAACAAACTAGATAACCAACTAGGTATTTCCTGTCCCAAATGTTTCTGGACCTTGACTTCGAGGATGGCGTAAGGAAAACGTAAAATATCATTTTCGTCAACGTTGTGAAAAGGGTAATTTATATCCACATCAGCTCTACGCCAACCATCTTGAAGTCGTCTTTGCTTCCCATCGAGATGGTCTTCACGAATAAAAGTCAAGTTGCTATCAAGGCAGATCCTAAGCCTCTGATCATCAGGTAATTGGAAGGCTAGGCGATTATAGAATATTCTGCATACCGGTTGCAGCTTGCGGTTCATAACTAATGACTGTATGCCCTTTGCTATAAATAATCTACTCTCTATAATTTCACTATCTAAAATGCCTTTCTTTTCCATTTCAGCTTCATACTCTTCTGCGCCGTAACGTCCGTTCATAAAGTCATTGACTTGTTGCCCCTTGATTTTAAAACGGCCTTTCACGGACTTCCCTTCCAGCCATTCTGCCCGATGCGTTTTCTTCTCCACGTAAACATCGTCACTAAGGCTATCGCAGTTGCCATACCAACGGACACGGACAGTTTCAGACCCTTTCTTTTGAAGTAACTTTTGCCTGTACATATCAAATGACTTGTTGTCATAATATACGCTTGATACAGCTGCATCGGTTGCCTTGTATGACTTGCCTTGGCCCTGAACATGAACGGGAAGATGTAATAAAATGATGGCTTTTACTTCTGCAATATGATCGGGGTGAATCCAATACTTCTTCGTTTCTCTTTCAAACTCTACTTGATCAGGTTCATCCGCAACTTTATCCACTACCTCTATTTCCCCCTTGCGCTTGCATAAATTGTACATTTCTGATAAAAGAACAAACAATGGATCAAACCACTGATTATATAATGGATATATTGCGAGAGCATTTTCAAAATTAAAAGCTTGCTGTATACGTTCCGTGTATCGAGCATGTCTTTTGGCAATTCTTTCAAACGCTTCTACATTAAGACTGTGAAACTTTGCCAGTTCGTCAACGTCAATCAGTGTTTCTGCAATATCGTCCGCAATAGCTTCATACTTTATATTCATCATAAAGTCATTTTTTCCTTCAAGGATCTTGTCAAAGTTGTCGATGCGTTTGACAAGTCCATCTAGATGGATCTGCACAAAGCAGTATACCTTTTCTAACTCAGTTAGAAAACAGGCGTTAAATTCAGATTCGCATTGTTCGTCCCATTCGTCTATCGTTTTGGCTTTTAGTAAATTGCTGAGACTTGCATACTCCATATATGAATCCCTCCATGGCTCTTTAATTCTTGCATTAAATTCCGCAGAAAATTTCATCTTTTTAACCAGAAAGAAGAAGGGAGGAAAAAAAAAAAAGAACTTAAAGAGAACCTTTCTCTCTTAATTTCACGTATGGAATGAAAAAAGTTTAGATATTGACCTGAATTAAAGATGATGAATTAAAAAAAAGTGTACATGACTGGATCTGTTTATTCAGTATCATCCTTTTCATAAAGCTTAGATTCTTGAATCATTCACTCAAACGAATTATGTTATATAACAATGAAAATATGTATGCGATTTATTAAGTGACACAGTTCTAAACACTCTGCTCGAATCAGAGCTTTCGTTTTGCACGCACAAATGCAAATATAAACTGCTGCTGTTGTGGGTCCATTACGTTATTTTGTCTTGCTTGTAAATCATTTCCAAGGGTGAATGTAACGCCAGTGCCAACCATTTCCACAGGAATTTCCTTTTCTCCGCTCTGCTGTTGCATGGCGATGACTTTAAGCTTTGGAAGTTTAACTTTCCCAGACAAAAGTGGATAACATGTGTAATCATATACTGTTCTTGATAAAGGTAAAACTTGACCTTTAACTTGCTTGTATCCAGAAAATACAAACGCTTCGCTTAGTTCAATTGATGCTGTATAATCAGCGATATGCTCTGTGGGGTTATAGATGATATAGGATAGTGTAAATGGTTCACCAAGGTATATCTCATCAGGGACATCTGCCGATAAGAATTAGTCTATCAGGAAAATCCGGTAGATAGCTGATTTACCTGATACAACAACCAAGTTTTGTTGCTGCAGTTGTAGAGATGGAAGGCTAATAAGAGATTTGCAAAGCTCATTATCTACTCCTGACCTGTACATTGATGATGATTAATAAGGTTGCAAATTTGCTTATCCACATTACCTCTTCCAAGTAATAACTATGTGACCAGCAGGTACTGAAGGTTGCGCTTCTGTCAAGTCAGTAGTATGGAGTTTAAAAAGATAATTGGCGTTATATATGTGCCCTGTTTTCCAGACTGCATGTTTTCATACAAATATGTTAGCTAACGTTCTTTTAAATGAAGTATACTTTACTGGTTATATCTACGTCTTCTATTTTTGATATTAATGATAAAGATGTGTATGGATGAGAAAATGTCTAACATACAAATAAGAAACTGCTCCCAAACATAGGCTCCGTAAGTACACTACCTTGTCCTCTTCTATAGCTATGCTTTTAATTTCCAGATCCCACGCAGAGAAGCATCGAAATGACGCTGTTAACAACCACTTTTCAGATTTTTCGAGATCAATTCCTATAGATCTTTCAAGTCTTTCTGTTATTGAGCACAGCTCAAAGCTTGCGTCAAACGGTGCAATGAAAGGAATACGAACTGACTCTGATTTTTCTACTACTTCAGAAAAATTCCTTCCAATGACTGTATATTTTGCCTAATGAAACAAGAATCAGAAGCAAGTTTCTTAAGTAGTCGTATTATTACATTCAAGTTGATAATTCTAGAACCTGATATGCTTCCACCGTGAAGGAATATGGTTTTGGTCACTGTTTGACCAGAACCAATTGTGCCTAGTTCAATGTCCTTTGCTGCTACATGATCCTTGGCGTCCTCACCACTAGAAAGCGCGATATAATCGTCGTCGACTATTTTATAAAGCATATGAATACTATTTCTTTAACAAAATCATAGTTCACTATACCTATTCCCTCCGCATTCTTTATTTCTGTATAGAGGGTAGCAGTAATAGATTCCGTCTCGGTATTTTTTATCTTGACATCAAGAGCAAATAGTTCATCAAGCAAAGCAGGAGCATTGTAGTCGAATTCTATATCGATACTCGGTGGCTTTTGCATAATGCTAAAAAAAAGTAAGAACCCTGTAGATTTTACAAGAGTTTTATCTTACTTTGCAATCGATAACTCTCCTCGTCCATCTAATATTTTGAATACAGGCTTCTTGCCTTCATCTACCAAGCAACGTTAATAGACTGTCCTGTTATAGACTAGTGCCTCAAGGGGTTACCTGATGCTTCTAACCACTTTCTTCGTGCTGCAGGTTGTTGCTCAGGAAGTTGGCCAATTGGATAATTCAGCTCTATTTGACCATGAGAGGACATCAAATCAAGCATAATACCAGTGATCTATACAGCAAGTATCATATTTAATATTTTCGTATAAGGATATATATATATTTATATGTTATCTTACCTTGAGCTCACCACATTTTTCTGGGACAATACATCCTTGCAAGACTTTTATTTGATCCTTAGTGATTCCAAGATCACATTGTGTGTTGAGCCATCCAGAATGATCGCCTTCTTCAATCCTTTTTAAATCATTGGAAAAATCAATCAACTCAGTACTCTTGACATCTGTCTCTATGCCAAGGTCCTTTATGATGGTGTTGTATTGAGGATTATTGAATAATATCCTAAGAGAGTTAAATCTAAAAGGGATTTGTGGTGAAGAGCGATTTGTCTGAAGCACGATTTGGTAAGACACCTTTGAACCAACAAAATTTGTAGGACTCTTGAGTTGAACGTGACAATGTAAGAAAGGGTTAATCTGATCCATATGTATGACCAATGGTGATCGTTCCGTAACAGATGATTCAGGGTGTTTAGATAGCATATCCATTAACTCTCGTTGAATATCAGCCCGTTTATTTTCAGCCATAGGAAGTTCATCCGACATGAGCTCTATCAAACACTCTATTGCCTTTTCCCATGCACCTAATTCTTTTGCACACCGCAGAGACCATCTCAAGATAGACGTCAGTACCATATTCCATTTTTCTTTGCGATACGTTTTTCCTATTCTCTCAAAAAACTTGATGGCCATATCATATTTTCCTGTCTCATAATATGTTCCAGCAATTTCAGCTGCTAGATAAAGTGTCATGCGTCCATTTCTGTAACGTTTGAACTGTTCATAGCTCTTGGTTAGCAGTTCTATAGTCAAGCTAGAGTGATCGACAAGCTTTTCAGCTAAAAGTGAATTATCTTTCTCCGCATTACCGCCAGCTGCGCGCTCTAGCTCAAGAAAACGTCTTCTTCGCTCTGCACAGCACATGGCTGCTAGATGATAGTAAAAACCTGGATGTTGAAGAATTGATCCAGGATTACATCCGGTAGTGCTAGAAATTGTCGTATTGCTAAACAGTGGGCTACCAGGCACATTTCCATTAGATGATAATAGATATTCTGTAGGGAGAGGGATTTTATATCCAGCCTGTACTGCTGCATCAATAAGATCGGCAAACATGCGATACCTTGAATAGGATGTTATCTTTTTTGCACAACTATTTAAAGAAGCTTCATTTACAAATAGACTTACTGTTTGGAAAGGCTGGCCCAATATTCAAATGTTTGCTCGCCAATACCCCAAGAAGGCGCACAGGATTGGAACATGTGTAAATGACCATTTAGTTGTGCTAAGGCAGCTGTTGAATCATTCAAATATAAGTAAAATTTGCAAATCTTGATATTAATACAATCTGCCAAAGTTTGTGCTTCTTGCCATCGTTTACTGTTGACAGGCAGCTGATGATGTCCAAATGGTGAAGAAGAAGAAGACGTCAGCAAGTCAACGATCGAATGATATGCAGCCTCATAGGATCTATTAAGGGATGATAAGAAAGCTAGCTACAGCTATCATTTTTTTATCATTTACTTTAAAGAACTGTCAATCTCTTGTTTACATTCTTGAAAGAAGGCAGTTTTAAAATCATAACGCAGCGACCAGCCTGTGACAGACAATGGCTGTTTCTCGTTACTCGAAAAGTCAAGTGTTGCTTTGGGAACAGTTGAAGGAGAAGGCAGCTTGGCTTTTTTCTTGCGAATTTTCTTTATACGGTTGCTATAAAATTGTGCCGCAGGTTCGTACATGACGCGATATAAACTAACGCAGAAGATATAAATACAATATCCCACTGTGGATCTATCCTCCAGACTCACATGTTTACAAAATCCTGCAGCTCGTTCATTGTTCCCGGTGATACTGTAAAAAATGAGCTCTTATAGTCCAAACCACACTGTTTCCTAATTGAAGATAATCTTTCCTCTATTGAAGAATCTAGAGGGGCACAAGTCTTAGCTAACTATCTTTCTTCGTTCCTCAAATTTACCTATATGTCTCTGTTTGAGTATAAGGACTGCTGCAAACTTGATGCCTTTATCCTGAAAGTATTTTCTGAATGATTCAGTTTAGAATCGGTATTGATGTATGCGTATAATAATCACCTTCTCATATTAATTTCATTTGCCAAGTTCATATCGTACTCTCTCTCGGTAGGATCAATGAGTATTTGAGAAGCCAAAGGTCCTGTTTCCCGTTTGGCCCTTTCTCCAGTTTCATTTTGCCAGTCCCACAGTTCATAAAAACCAACGACTACACTCGGATGATATAGGTGTCTTTTGATCCACAATGGTGTCATTATTCCGTCTGGATAAACAGGAGAGTCTGGTGATAGTGGTGAGAGATTCGAGTGAGTTGTCAGACTCGAGGTAGCAGATGATTGTCGCTGTGGTAAGACGTAATCCTACGTTGAAAAAGTTGCATGTTTATGCAAAATGTTAAAGCTCGGATCGTCGGGAGGGGACTTTTATTCTTTCTTACTTTTGAAACAGTGATGACTCGAAAGGGTGGAGGTATCTGCTGATTGGATAAATAGGCTGTGGCCTCATAGAGCGTATACTCTGTTTTACTCGTAAGCAATTCCAATAGGGAACATGTCAAATTAGGTTTTGTTAAAGTGACTGAGGGCTTTGGTGATTGAGAATTGGTTTCTTCGGATATAGGTGCGTCTAGTAAAGAAGACTCATCAGAGGGTGATAGACCATATATGGCCATCACAGGGACAGGGTGAAGTAGATAATCAAGTGGGTATGAATGCATATTTGTTGAACACATTTATGTGCTATATTTTTTGTAATTAGCAGCTATTGTTTGTCTCTTTCTTTCTGCTCAATAAGGGCAAACACCATAAAATGAAGAGAGAGAAAAATGCTGGATTTTAATTAGCCTCTCAAGAAAAAATGGGTGACACTTTTTTTGCTCTTTTTTTTCTGCAAGAATCAATAGATTATGGAGGACGACGAACTTCAAGCGATAAGAGCTAGACGCTTAGCTGAATTACAAGCTAAAAGCGGTGGCTCTCAACCTTCTCAGGTAAAAAAAAAAAAACTTTAGAATGAAACTATTTGATGACAAGACTAATTTCAATAGGGCGGCTTCCCAAGTGCTGGAGGCGCCTCCAAAGATGATGCAGAGAAAAGGTAATGATAATGAATAAAAGAATACAGCGTGTATTGACTTTGCTGTAATAGCCAAATGGAAGAAATGCGTCGCAATATGGTACGTGTTTATTTAAATATATTCTGTCTAAACCTTGTTTAAAACTGACAACAACCCAGTTATATCAAATTTTGGATAATTCAGCTCGTGAAAGATGTAAGATTATATTTATAAAAAGCATGTATGCGAAATAATGGCTAAATGGATTTTACAGTGGGTAGAATTCAGATGGTGAAGGCAGACAAGGCACGCGCAGTAGAGGATTTGCTGATCAGAATGGCTCAAACAAACCAATTAAGAAGCAAAGTAACTGAAAATCAGTTAATTGATCTTTTGGGTCAAATCAATAGACAGGAAAGTAGCGCTACATCAAGCCGTATTGTAGTAAGTATATGATTCTATATACTTCATGTGAAATTTACTGTTTTATAGTATAACCGCAGACACTATGATGACTCTGATGAAGAATATGATATATAATATGAAATAAACACCTCCCTTTCGTGATGACGATGATGATGGTGTACAATGCTTGTATTGTTTCATTTCATGTTGTGTATTTTATGTAAAGGAGATATCCTAATGTATTTACTTTACAACAACGGTTCAAGTTCGGTTAAATATGGGTAAATCCAAGATTTCTAAGAAAGTATTCAAGCAGCAAACAACCCAGGAATCATATTAGTGGGAAAAAAAAAAAAAAAAAGAGCCGGAGTTGCTTTAAATAGATGAAAACACCGTTACTGTATTTCTATTTCTTTAATCAATGCAAGATGACCCTTAAAAAAAGGTAAAATATCTATATGTGAAGTATGAGAGTTGTGTGAAAAGGACAGAGTAAAAATAACTTTAAAAAGAAGGATGCATAAGCTGGTTCGAATCTATATGATCAGTTACGTGTTCAGGCTACAATTTCTGCTCAACATTATGCAGATTGTGTTTTTTTTCATGTATTACGGAAAAACTATAAATAAAACACCAGGATAAAGTTGACTGTATTAAACGTAATGCGTCGTGTAATGCTTTATTGATTTCCTCCCTCCCTTATTGCTTTATGTACATATTATATCAGTTCTGTTTTATTTCGAGATAATATCTAAAGTGAAAAGAAATAACACAATTTCAAACAAAGAGGCAGGTAAGGCAAGAAAAAAAAAAAAAATACGGAGCTCACCACGGCTTTTACTCCCCAAATCAGCTGGAAACTTAATATATTGCGTAAAAGATTCCTAATGTGCATTTGTTAAGGACTCCATCAGGATTTTCGGCAAGAGCAAACGGTTTCCATAAGCAAAGGAAACATCTATTTAAACATAAGAACATTGTTTTCTGTACCTTCTTTTATTTGCTTGAAAGAACAAAATGAAATTGAATATATGCAGATTGGCTACTGTTATCTCAGTAGCCAGTATTTTTCTTTGTGGCACTTCTTATGGTAAAGAGACATTGGTTGAAGATTACTTTGAACCGAAGCATGTCATGTTCATGTCTACCTTTGGAGGATCATCCCATGTCAATTGGGTTTTATCAATCTTGAACGAACTTAGCAAGAGAGGACACCGTATTACATATGTTACTAGAGTAAGTTATTTCTTATTGAAAGAGTTGTCCTTGAAATAACTGACATCTCTACAGGAAATTCAAGCTAAGCATGCTAAGCAATATCCTCACTTTAATACAGTCATACTCAAGGGAAAGGAAACCAATATGGAAGGCGCTTTCGCCCAAAAGCACACAGCTATTTTAGATGCTGCTGGCACTTTGTTAAAAAGCGGTTACCATGATTTCAAATCCGATTACATTGCACTTCGCCATATGATTAAAACGGAAAATATCAGTGCCGCAGTTTGTGGTTTTGCAACTGCCCCTGGATGCTTTGAAGCAGCAAGAGATTCTAATATTCCATACATTCTTACATCATCTTATGCAGCATTTCCAGGTAAAAGAAAAAAAGAAGAAGAAAAAACTAAGCTTAAACTCATGCTTGTTTCCCACCCGTAGATGCTTCAGCTGCTTATATTAATAACCATGTGCTCACAATGGAGAATCCTACTACGTACGGGCTGTCGTTTTTCAAGAGATTTTATGACATGTTTGTTATACCTGTTCAGGCTTATTTGCAAATGAAACCTGTTGGTGATTGGATAAACGAACGACGCCGAGAAGCTGGTTGCAACATCAGGGATTTGGAATACGAGCCTTGGACGCACAAGAATAACATCAAGCTAGTGAACAGTCTATTTGGTATAGAAGCTGCACGACCCTTTGGCCCCTTGGTAGAAAGAGTAGGCCCCATCATGCAGCGCCAGTACGATCCCTTGACGCCAGACTTGAAGGAGTATCTCGATAACCATTCACGTATCTTGTACATTGCATTTGGTCAACATGCCGTTGCTAGTATCAATGATCTTCAGATGATTATGACAAGCGTGATGGAAAATGTCGAACGTGGAGTCTATGATGGCTTTCTTTGGGCTTCACGTAAAAGTAGCGAAACATTTCCTGAAGAGATTAAGACATCATCTGGAAATATCTATCGAGTCAAGGATATGTTTGAAGGAAAATACTCAAATTTGCGTTTTGTCAGCTGGGCACCTCAGACAGCCGTACTCTTTCATCCCTCTGTTAACGTCTTCTTGACGCATGGTGGTGCTGGATCCATGTATGAAGCTCTCTATGCAGGCAAGCGTTTGATCGTGTTTCCTTTTTACGGAGATCAATTCTTGAATGCCCAGAATGTAAAGACAACTGGCTTGGGTGACTTTTTGAACCCTATATTAAGTCAAGAAGAAGCAAATGATATGGTTAAGCGTGTAGGGATTGATATCGATGGCAGCATTCAACAAAACGTAAAGCGGTACAAAGCTCTTATTCAAATTCATTCTCGAAATGGTTCGATTCGCGGTGCAGATATTATTGAAGAAGTACTCTTTGTGAACAAGGATACCTACTTGCCCTATCGCTATCCTGTCTCTAGACAAATGTCTTTCATTAAAGCTCGCAATCTGGACCTTATCGCCGCAGCTCTTGTCTTGTTTATGAGCATCATTTACTCTTTTGTATTGTTGGTAAAGGCAGCATTCCATCTCATGCTTGCTTATATATGGCAAAAGGAAGCTCCCATCGACCCAGCAAACATCAAGCTAAAGACAATTTAGAGCCTCAAGAGTACTGTTTTTTGGCGAGTTCTTTTACTATACATTAATTATTGTATACTATTACAAGTTAAATAAAAAAAAAAGCGTATTACTATAGCTACAGTAGCTAGTTGTGAAAACGTAAAGTTTGTGCTCGTCATTTCCAATGCTTTTCTTCTCTTTTTTACGAAGCAAATAATTTACCCCTGAGATCAGTTTCTCAAACTATATATAATACAACACCATTTTAACTCGTCTTTTTATATAGTCAGAATTCCGAATATTCTAAAGGGCCATTCTTTATTTAAAATAGCATTATTAGTTCTTAACTTTTTGTTTTTTCTTAGGGGGTACATAGGGCTCTTCAGTCTCAGGGCTCTAGTAAAAAGACCCTGGAGAGGGCTCATTTTCATAAATATAATTTACATATTATTCATGTTGCTTTTGTAGCAAGTCCTACAAAAAAAAAAAAAAGTTATAAGCAAATGACAATTGTGACATAAGAGACACTTGTTATTTTACATACATAAACAGCCCAAAGCTGGGAAAGGAGAGTAGGGAGAGAATAGATGACAATTTTGCGGTGACAAAGCTTTACAATGCTAACAGTGCCAAACGGCGGTTTTGCTTATTTCGTTTGGCATTTTATAGTTTGGATGAATGAAAACAATTTATTTATAAAGCTACTTTAGATGGGTTGCCTTTCTAAACATTTGTCAAAGAGACTGACAGTGTGTTGAATGATATTTCGAAGATGGTGGACAGGAACATTGTTACTGGCTTCCTTTATTCTATTCCGTAAATCTTCTTTATTCTCGAACTGGTTACGTCTTACTTTGGATGATTATTAACTCAAAACTGAATCAAAAAGTCAAATTCAGCTTCCCTCATGTCAAAATCAATGGATGAGTGTTTCTTTAAAAATCATTTTATTATGCATCATGATAAAAGTAACATCATTAAGTAACAGTTTTGGTTCCTTGATTCATAATCATATTATCAGTAACTGTCTTTAATGATTTATTTGATTGTATTGTACAAGTGGTTGTAGATATATAGTTTGCATTACAATCTGTAGCAATTGAGTGATTTTTTATTTTGTTTTTGAATATATGAATGTAGTTTTGCTGAGAGATATACAACTTTGTCGGCTGTAATCAGCTCCAGCGGATTCTCGTTCTTTTTCTTTATTTTTACACATGTATTCTGCTAGAGCTATCAAATCTCTGCTTCCTTTGTTTGCAACCAGTCTTTTTTTGATTGTGACGGAAGCCTTTATTTGATCGCGGTATTGCCACTCCTTTAATGTTTGCAAAGCTTTGAACAGCTTCAAAATCACTTCATACTGTTCATTCTTGAATATTTTTTGATGAGAAATGTGATTCAGAATAACCGATATCAGCGTCATTAACGGGGTACTATTTCTATTATTTGGTGGACTTACAGTGGCAAAGTCTTTTCTGTGAAATCGACTACTGATGCAGGCACATTCGAACGATGATGGCAGTTTTATCCAGTTTCTAAGACTTCTTACTTGAAAGTATGCTTTCACGCCATCATCATGGCAGTTTACATATATATTCTCGCTTGTAAAAGAGTCTCCATCAACTAATTCCTTCAGCGGCATATTTAACCCTAAAAAGGGCACAACATCATTCGACAGCTTGTTGCCACATATTCCACCAGTCAACAGCATCTCAAACTTACCCCAAACGATTGATAATTCAAACCAGGGCTTTCCTTTCTCCGTCTTGTTTTTCACCTTAGCGACAAGGCTGCTTGGATACTTGTCCATCCAAGTTGTCATGGTAGATTCGTCAATGTATGAATTATTTCGGTAATAGACTTCAAACTGTGTTACAAATATCCAGTAACTTGGATGATATGACGTTTTTAATATTATCTTCTGTGTCTTGTTTACTTTGTACTTCTTTCAATGGCATATCACTATTAATATTGCTTAATTGGTACATCCAGATGCTACTGCTTATGTCCTCCAACAAAGCTCTTCGTTGTGTAGCTTGACACTGCACATGACTTTATAAAGTCACCAACTTGGTTTGTTTCTTTACAAGAAGAAAGAGATAAAAATGTTATTTTTTTATTCTAATTTTTTGTTGTCAGTTCTATCAACAAAGAACCAAGATCAATCACGTGTATTTTACATTAATGGACATCCCACTGGGCTGTTTTGGCTTAGATAGAGGCATTGATAGTAAAATGAAATCACAGTTAGCGATCCGAGGTAGAGCTCGTAACATTAGCTACTTTGTTGTCATTTTTTTCGTGCATGTAGTGCTTCTCTTGTTTTTTTGATAAAAACATTTTACTGATTATCCGTAGATTTTACTATTCAATCATGAACTTTACTAACAAACACTGTAAAGTAGCAATAATCCCAATTCAGGCTAATGATCTGTGTGATGCAGCCTATCCGTTTCTTCGGATATTCAAAAGTAATAAGTTTCACTTCTTGATCTTTTACTGGTCATTACTTTTAGCCGTCGAGTGGTCTCTCTGGCGATGATCCCCTTTGGGAAATTAAAACGTTAGAATAAAGTTCCGTCCAATCGGTATTTGCTTCAGGTACCCTTTTTTTTTTTTTCTTCTTTCGCAATCTAGATTATAATTAATTACCATGGAACTAAAACCAGTACAACGTATACACAAAATGTAATCAGTGTAAATCACTTCTTCAAAAATATCTTGAGTCACCTCATTTCACATGGGAACTTTGCCCCTTCCCGTCTCTTTCCAATATTGTATGACAAAAATTTGTCGTACCTCACTGACTTTTAATTCAAAAGCCACGTTGCTTATGTAAATGCTATTTAAATGAACCCTTTCATCCCCGAGAAAACAATGTTATTTTTTAGAAAGCAGCTGTAATGCTCCCTGTTTGTTGGTTTTATGTGCAATTGGAGAGATTTTCATAAAAGACAGAAAGATCTATTCAAGCTACTTATCGTCATCGACTGCTTTTTTTGCTGCTCATTTAGTAATGATAGCACCCATGGGATCGAATGATGAATTAAAAATAATTTTAAAAGGAGAAGACATTGGGAAAAGTGTATAGAATGACCGCATTTGAGCTCAGAGCAACCGTTTTCGCGTTGTAGAGAACTATGGGATCATTGAATAAGACTTCATGCGCTATTATTAGCACGTAAATTATTCTCTGCGTTGGCATCTGAAAGTATCTTTATGAGCACTCGCTCAATTGGTGTTAAATAACTCCCAAAAGCCATTGCTCACTATTGAACAAGTCCATAATTAATGAAAATGATAAGTAGAGGCAGTCCAAAAGATTTTTTTATCCTTTATAAATCCCAGTGAGCTTCACATGCATTTCTTGCTATTGTGACGGAGCCTTTAACCACATAAAGCCCTTTGTAGAAGCACGAGAATTTCACTCTAGATTTTTTTCTAGTAAAAGTTGGCGATTGTAATAATAAGAAGAAAAAAAAGAAGATATCTATCTAGCAGTTACTACTACTGCCACTGCTACACTTTCAGAAGCCTTTGGGCTGGGCACCCGTTTATCAGTCCGCTCCAATTGGCTATCAGTTGATATATGATTGGAAATGATTTAGACCAGCCCGTTGGTAATACAGTAGTAAAGGCACTACAGATACACCTTCTCAAAATTACGTAGTTTAGATTGGCCGTGTTTCTGTATAAGTTATACTATAAAAATTCACAAATACAATATTATTTTCACATAACGGTTCATTACTATCTTTAGTATTTAGTAAAAAGTAATATTTATTTGCTATAAGCTTCATTGGTTCCGTCTTTTACTTGGTTCAAAAATTGCCATGGAAACAGACAGGGAAAATGCGGGGATGGGGAAATGACTTTGAATGGTCCCACCGGATTGTTCCTTATTGGTGTCATTCGTGTGACATGCCTCGCTAATCTGAAAATACACACAGTTTGCAAAAGTTATAGTGAGCATCATCTTTCTTCTTGTTATCCTTTTTTTTAGTCCTTTTTCGATTGATGATATTTTCTCCTATACCTTCATTACTTTACCTTCAATAATGATACAATTATCGCCTTATGGCCAGCGAGTCGTACTAAGAATCAACCTTATTGGAATGTGGATAGCTGTCCTTGTGAGTGTTAGAAACTTCACTATCTGTTATAGTCAATATAGAAAGACGAAAGGAAAGATGTAAGCAATGAATTCAATCTTTTGGGGATGATGTCTAACTTTTTTTTCTTTGCGTAGCCATTTAATAAATATGGCGCAAGTCACTGTTCTTTTTGTGCACAGACTTTTATATGGCATCATTCCCTTATTTGAAATACATACTTGCGCTTATTTCCCACTGCTAGTATCGTAAGGATTTTTTAACGTCATTGAATGAACCAATTACTTACTCTTCTTATGTAGCTTATGGCATATAAGTAAATGCTCTAGCTTACATTCTAGCTCCTTTTACTAACCTAATCTCATAATTCAGCTTATATATTGTTTTATACCGTGATGTTTATGCGACTAGTCATCTTAGAACTTGATCGTTATTCTCGCTTAATTAAGTGTATTGGCCTTTTACTCATCGGTTTACGATTTGCTGATTGGCCCTATGAACTTGCCTTTATTTCCATCCAAGAAAGAATTATGGCGCAAAATCCAGGTGATAACGCTACTTGTTGGGCTATATGGTATATACATATATGGCTTATCAAGATATACATAATGCTAACACTCTTTAGGGGATCGGGAGTCATCATTTTAAACTTTATCGGTGACGCATTAGCCAATTTATTCCTCAGCGGCATGTTTGTTAGAAGGTTAGTCGAATACTTGACAGCACACAGACCACCTAATTAACTTTTTGTTCTACCAGATTGTTTATACACATCAACAGTTCCAAGACAATTGCTAGTCAGCATAATAGACTGATTTCCAGCATTGCCAGAAAGTCCCTCATCTGCTTAACCTTGACATTTTTCGTCAATCTAGTCATGAATTTATTTAAAGTTACAATGTTTCTTGGCAATCAATCTGATGTAACTTTCACACACTATGACAAGCGGAGCTTACTGACATTGATTTGATGTAGGCCTTCACTGTTTACTTTGAGCTCATTGAATCCACTTTGCTAGTTGAGGCTCTCCGTAATGATAGTTCAATGAGAGCTGGCCCAAACACATCTATTTGTGAGAGCTGTCACAAGGTATAACGTAGCTATCCTACTCTCTCTATATATATTTATCTAACATTGCCCCCTCTTTCTTGTTTCATAGGAGTTGAGTCGTAATGGTGGACACAAACGACCCAATAACAGTGAAGAACACCATAGTCAGATGCTTGTTAGATCATTCAGTAATCACCAGAACAAAAAGCATAGCTTTATTTCAGAAACAGATGAAAACACTGCTTACGATGAAAACGTAATAGAAAACATCACTCCTGTTCAACCTGCCATGTTTCATTCAAAGCAACACCGTCATACTCACTATCAACATCAACAGAAACAGTCGGGCGATCTTTCGGAACAAGAGACTCATTCCTTTTCCACCTCGCTGGCCCCTAGGCCAATTACATCATCAAGCAAAGATATGCTTATGTCTCTCAATGCTCCTTCTGCACCTCTTCCGCAGCCGCCTTTTTCAGGTGAATCTTTTGCAATGGTAAATGTAGAAAAGGATCATCATGCTTCACATGCTTCGCCAACAGCGTCCAGATCTGAGAGTGCTGCCAATAGCCATCATTCTCAGCCAACATCTTATTAAGACAACATATAGAATATGAATCAGTCTTTTTTTCCCATGTTGGCTTATTAACTTTTAGAATGTTGAATAATTTGTAATTGATAATAATAATAATAACACTATGATTTCTCTCTTTATGCAGTAAACTTGTAATTTATTATACTAGCTCAAGACTTGATACCTGCTTTACGTATATATATATATATATATATATATATTTTTGCTAATAAACATATCTCAGCATTAGAATAAAACGCACTCAGTTTGCTTTCTTTTATGCTTCAAGAATTAAACGTGATAAGCAATTATGCAATCAGTTAGCTTACAGCTGACAATCTGTGAGAGATTTTCATTTCTGTACACAGAATGAATGGTAAAGAGAAAGTAGAGATTTTTATTTCAGTTTCTCTCTTTTAAAAATATGATCCATTGCTTCTTTTTGTTAACAAGTGAAGGTGACCGGGTATAAGTGCCCTTTATTTACCAAGAGAGCATTGCTTAGTCTCGAGATCAAAGATAGTTTGTACAAGATATTTGTTTCCAGCCAGTTCTATGTTGTAACTTCCGCTGTTTTCTTGGGTGATATTTCCAAACTGGTAGGATACTGTTCCTGTACCGGAGCAGAAATCGCCCAATTCGATAGTGGAGCCATTGTCTTGGATGACCCAAGCATTGTTTCTTGGGTCTGTCAGGATGTCTTGAAGTTCGTGAGAGAATATAGTGATGGCTGCATCCATAGCTGGTGAATTGTTTGGTGAGCTCTTAACATTAACTTGTGGCATACAGCTTTAAAAAAGAGTGTATTAATTTAGAAAGAGCCAAGATGGGTCTGTTTTAACTGTATGTGTACCTGTTTGGACATATTCCAGGATAACCAATAAACATATACTGGAAATCATTATCATAGCTATTGTATCCACAATTGGCAGTACAGAACTCGGCATCCTTTACGTCAGGTCCTCCTATGATGATATAGATACCGTTACTATCTATACGATTTATAGGTGAAAGGTATCCTGAATTGACAGCATCAACAATAATTTTTTTATGGGCGGCTGTTGTCAAGTTGAGCGATTGACTTCCGGCATCGTTTACTGCAGCTGCTAAATTAAGTGGGCCAGTAACTGTTCTTCCAGAACTGTCAAAGTATTGATTTACTAATAAAGAAGTCAATGATGTTATTTTAAAGCCAAAAATAAAAAAATATGTTACAAAGCTTGAACCAAGGGCTGATAGAAATGTTTTCGACAAAATGCATAAAGGTCGCTTGTTCTTGCTGTGCTTGAGGTGAAGTCCAGTTGCCATAAAAGATTATGTAAACTAACCCCTGATTATTAGAATGGTATTATTGCTATTTGTTATTTTGTTTAGGTACCATTCACTTTATCATGAAGGATATTGCCACCCTGATTTTTAAACGAATTCCCGTATTTAGCAATAGTAGACGATGTGGTAGTCGTATCTGTTGCCGTATTTTGAGCATAGGTCAAGCTTGTCATTAAAGTGAACAAGCATGTTGCTATGGACAATAACTTCATGTTCAAGAACAAAAGAAATGAAAAAGATACACTGGGAGTTTGAAATATAATTATAGACGTCGTTTTGATTGGTTGGCTTCTAATTATTTTACAAGACGGGTACAGTCGTACAACAAGCACTTTTGCCACTAAAAATAAATAAATATGAAAGCCAGGTCTAGCATCACTGATAGTAAAGTAAATCACTACCAATGAGAAATCCATAGACTGGATTTTTCTGATTAAGCAAGCACTGAATTGATACCATTGTTTGCTCATTATTTTGATTCTTTAGAGGACAATAAATACTTTCTTTTTTAAAGATAAAGAATTTGACATTATTTAATATAGTCTTTCTTTGATTCTTGAAGTGTTATAAAGCTTTTTTATATGGCTTCTATAGCGATTATAGGGCAACTTTCATACTGATCACACAATTAAAGCTGTAAAGAAAGGCTCAATATATGTAACTCTTTGAATCGTCAGGTTAAAGCAGTTGCCAACAGTGAATACAACTGCATCTTTAATGAATTACTTTCAGGAGGTCTCAAAGTGTTTTTATTGTCTGTGCCTTCATTAACTAGATAGGCTGAAACCTATTAATAAAGAGTTTATTTGAGCAGTAGAGAGACGACATACAAAACAGTCTTGTTACGTTGATATTATAATGTTTATATATGATGTATGCAACGTATTTATATTTTTGTTCCATGGGATTTTGACATGAGATCTTTATTGTAATATATTCCAATAGCCGACTATTGGATCATTGCATAGAGAAGCTTTATAATCGATTAAATACTGTTGATCCTTATTTAGATCAACTGATTCTTATCCGGAAGCCGCCAGCGACTATAGTAGAGGCCCAAAGAAACATATATTTATGAAAGCCTTTAATCACGAATGTTGATTTTTACCTTCACCATTACTTTGATTACATAACGTTGGATACATTTCTTTAAGGAAATATGGCTTCTATTGCTACTCAAGAGTTATTGTACCTTCATTGTTGTAATAGTAGTGGATGATAATTCGGAAATCATAGATGGGCTTATGTTGCCTTGGACAGCGGTGCAATTCATATACCTAAAATCATGGATCCAGTTGATATAAAAAGAGATTATATAGTCTGTATAGCCAGAAAAAGCATCTGCCACTCGTCATTTTCAACCATTGCCTTAAATTTCTTAAAATAGCTTGGCCAATAAAATTAAAGAGCCGGTTGCTGTTAAAAATGGATTAAGATTTATTAACTTTATGGCTAAAAACTCTTCCTATCCTTATGTCAAGCATCTTCCCCCTTATGTAGGTTCAAAGATGAACACATTAGAAGTCATTATTATGAATTCATTATTGCTATTTACATGTAAACTGAATGCGTTGAATTAAGAGAATAACTCTAAAGACAACAAAGGGGGAGGAAGAATAGAGAGGGAGTGGGTCGATAGACTTGCGAAAGGGGAGAAAAGCAAAATGCGTGCTTTATAACTTTCTCCTTAAACAAAAGCTTAAAGAAAATTAGTCGTTCAACCCCTAACACCGCCTTCTTTCTTCCTTCATCTTCTTTGCTGATAGAAAACAGCATCTGATACATATCTGTAATATACTATTTTTTTCATATAAAATAATTCCATGGTTGCTACACAAATGCGTAGTACGCTAAGCGCTGGACTTGACAACCAACCAAGTAGTGGTAGATCAAAACGACGACCTTCATATCGTAAAACATCGGAAAAATACTCAACACCAACAAACCCTTCGAGCAATCGACCTGGCCCAGCCAATACCCATATGCGCAACGCATATAAAAGGCGTTCGCGTTCATTATGTTCCGGCATGCCTCAAGTACAACAGGATAATCGAAGGCCGTCAGCGCCTGCTGTAAGCAATGTTCCACGCCTGTCAATAGCCGAACGGTTCATGGCATCTGGACACTCTTCGTCTACTTCTCAACTTGTGCCAAGCACCAAAGCACATCATCGTGCTGTATCGCCAACAATGACTACAAAATCTCTAGATCTGCACAATTCAAGCTTATCCGATTTGCCTGCAGTAGGCAGTAGCGGCAAACTTTCAGTCGCTGAACGTTTTATGAACGCCAGTGTAAGCTCACCATCTGATTCGTCCCTAAGCACCTATGCTCAACAATACAGAGAGAGATCGATGTCCTCCTTTTCTGGAAGAACACTTCATACAGCAACCTTGTCCTCCCTTTGCCCCACTCCAGATCCTGGGGCAGGAAAGCTGTCTATTGCAGAGACCTTTATGAAGGCTCCTAGTATTCGCAGTCCTACACCTACAGGCGAAAAGCTCTCTGTGCCTTCTATAAAGGGCTCAGATATTCCTACACACTATAATGACAATGAACCAAACTATGAATCATCATCAGGTATTATCACTCACACAGCGTCTTCAATAAAGTATGCTTTAACACTAATGTTACATAGCACATCCACTTGATTCTAATCAACAAAGATTATCCATCTTTGATGACCCATATCACTTTAACCTGGATGCTTATCTGCATCCAACATCAGTCCTAAGCTTCACACTCGACAGCGAAAAGCCAAGAAGACCATGGGGTAGCCAAGATACCTTGGTGCAGCAGCAGATACTGGACAAGAAAAAACTAATCCATGACCAACTTATGGGATCAAATAAAAAGTTCGAGGCCTTTGATGACACTCGATCTGCTTTTTCAAAGGATTACTTTGGAAACCCCACCGATTACCATGCAACGCGAGGTGATGGCTTATCTACACAATTTGGTCCTGGAGGCGAATATGACGAACATACGGATATTGAACTTGGTTATGAAAAAGCAGACAGCTATCGGAATTATGGAGAAGACGAGGTATATGAAGATAATCAGGAGGACAGAGATGGAGAGGATCACAGGGATGGACAGTATGACAAATCAGAGTTTTATGCAAAGAAGCGCAAGCTACAAGAAAATGAAGACTTTGAAGCTCCTTCTGGATGTTGGTTAGGATGCTGTTTCATCAGTTGTGGTGGCCAATCAAAGAATCAACCAAGCCAAAAACAAAAGCACAATAACAAGGACTATAAGAGCAATGGATCTCGTTCGGGAAAGAAGGGGTGCGGAAGAAAAGGATGCGTGTTTTTTACTTTTATATTTCTAATTGTCATCACATTAACCATTTACTTCATCTGGCCACATGCCCCATTAATGCGTATCGAAGGTGCATCATTGACTTCTCCACCCAAGATAATCGAAACGAAGCAAGGTATAATGGTTGGTAACGTTGCGTTCGAAAGCGAATGGCTAGTGAATATAACAGTTGATAATCGGCAAAACCGTGTGCCCACAAAGTTAACACGAGTTCAAGTGATAGCCAAGGATGCTCTTACAGGACTCGTCATAGGAAAAGGGTTACATAATGATGACCCTAGCCCAGATACTATTACCCTTGCTCCTGGAGCAATTTCGATTATACAAATACCAATTCACGTGGACTACCAAGCAAGGGACACCACAGATACGACCTTTGTAGACCTTATAAAAGCGTGTTCTCCAAGATACGCTCCTAATGTAAACGATTCTTTACCACCTGGTCAACATGAAGCTTTGCCATTACATTTTTGGATAACACTACATTTTTATGGAATGGATTGGTTAGGCTATAAACCTACACTAATTGCTGCACCAGCAACAGGAGGTTTTGTCTGCCCTCAATAGCTGATATGGTGGATGTATAAAAAAAAAAAAAAAAGCTTGTTCATGTATCCTTCTCTTTTTCTATATTAAATTGTGTAAACGAATAGTTCTTGTTTGATGTTCTGTTTTGAAAATAAAAATCGATCATTCATATTAAATGACAGCTACTTTTACTATGCAAGTCTCAGCATAGATTCAAAAGATATACACACATTCTATCTTGAATTAAAGGATGTATTATGGAATAAAAAAATATGTTTATAAAAATTAAGAAAAAAAGCCAATAAATAAAATAAAACAATGACTATTATACGTGAATCAATTGCCTCAAGACTCCAGGTATATAATCCACTCTGTTGTAGTAGTTGGTTAACTTTCTCTTGAACCATTCTTTTACACCAAGTAGGGACTTGTATCCTGTACGACCCTCTACAGCTATTCTAAAGTCCACATGATGGTTGACACGTATAAGGAAATCAGCAGCGACAGAGAAACTTGTGCAGAAAGGAAGACTGGCGTCTTGATCAATTTTGCCTTCCAAGAAAGCATGAAGGCCTCCAGTGATGTAACTTGGTCCTTTTCCTATACGAGGAAGCTTTTGATCCCAGAGAACATCGTCATAAATAAATGCAGCGAGGGAATCAATGATTGGGAACAGCGTTGTTGTGTTTAAAAGATTTCTTGCGATAAGGTCAATATGGTGTTCTAACAATTGACGATATTCTGGCACTTGTAGAATAGCAGATGTTAAAGGTAACGATGTCATTCTACCAAACTTCATGTAATCTCCCACTAATATAGCATCCATATCAAAAGGACCATTTCCCAAGGTGTAATCGTAATCCCAAGGAATATACACGAACTTTCCTCGCTCAGGGTCTTTGTACAGATAAAAGTTGTTTGTATTTTCAGTATATCCATCAGCAAATCCAAGTAAAAACTCCATAGCCATGCTAGCAAAAAAAAACATATGTTAATTAAAGATGAATTTATATAAAGCGAGCTTACTTTGTCAAGAATCCTTCTACGTCAAGGCGCTTTTCCCATTCATATCTTGCTCTAGCTTTTGCCACAGCATTCGTGGATCTCTGTAAATATTGCTGGTCTCGTACAAATCTTGTAAATTCAACCAACTCTCCAAAATCGTTGTTGCCTTCTTTAGGGCCCTCTGCAATTTCAAAAGAGCTCTCCTCAAAAATTCTGGGATCATCTCCCTTGAAAGAAAAGTCTGCTCTGTTACGTTCTGTTCTACCACCATGTCCTTCATAAGTGATACCATTCTTGTATTGTCCGTTTCTTTTAGAGTCAAACTCGTTTGCGAGCCAGGTTGAGTCGTACTTTTCGACAAGAAGATACAGGCCAATAGGCTGTTCATTCATAAAAAGTCTAAGATAAGATGGGTTAGAACACACTATTCAAAACAAAGTAGAAATGGAGTGAAATAGTGAAGCTACCTAACGTAAGATGCTCTTGTTGTAGGTTGGTTGACTGCATGCAGCATATTAGCTGTGATGTATTCTCGCATGTAACTAGGATCATTGGCTACAGAACGTAATTTCAAGTGTCTATAGCCGCTTAAATTGTAGTCATCTTTGGGAATCTTGATCTTGTAGGGAAGCTTATTAAAGTATCTTGATGTTCTTCCACTGATTCCAAATTCAACGTTCATAAAGTGTTTCACCTTAGTAGCACTATCAAAATGGTAAAATAAACTGGCTAGATAATATAGAGAGGGAGTGATATGTACCTGATGTGTGTAACATTTACAGTAACCGTAACATCATCAAGGTATTGCTTATGCATGGAGATTAAACTGACTGGATCAGCTTGGACATGTATAGTAGGTATCTGGCCAGAGATATGAAGATCTCTATCATCACGCCTATTATGGCTTTTCGCAATTCCATCTACAGTCTCAAAATTCAAAACTTTTTTAGCGTTCCAATTACGATTGTAAAATTCATTAAACGTCCATGCTCTTGCCGTGGGGTATCTCACAAAACGTTCTCTTTCCACTATTTCCTTTGTTCCTTTCTTTAATTTAGCATAATAATAGGGCTTTTCACTTGGTGCTTTAGCTTGGAATATGATGCTGCTCTTTCCAGAAGGAGAAAGTACATAGACCTGCCCATCAATGACGACAGCAGCATCGGTAGAAGGGGAATTGATGATGACGCTGTAGAGTGTGTCTGCAACGATACAATGAATATATAGCAGTAATACTAATTATCTATGTGTATAAGAAAACGATCGTATGGGAGATGATAGTCAAGTTACCGAGGTATAAGTAAAGAGGTCGTGGCAATCCACGAATGACTATGTTCATTGATAACTAAAGAGAGAAAGAAGAGTAGGACTTTATTGGCATTTAACGAATAATTTATCATTATACAATAAGAGCCATTTTTTTGGTTAGAAAAATATATCTTAGGGGAATGAGACAATGAAGCGGAGTGCTAGGTTGGTTTCCAGTGTGTTGAATTGTTTGCCTCGTAAAGGCCCATTCTTCATCACATTCTTTAAATTGACCTAGCCTCTAACTAAATTTTACAAAAGTTGCTCGTCAAAAAGACAATACGACTTCATCTCCAAGCTGTGTGCTATCATTAAGAGAAAGCTTATTTCACCATGACTAAAAACGACCTTATTCTAAAAGGGAATCGTTAAATATAAATTTTACAAGACGCATAATTATTAAATGTACAAAAGAACTTTTTGTTTTTCTTAAAAATTCATAATGAACAAACTTGAGAAAGATTAGCAGAAGGTGATGTTTCCTTTCCATATTCAAACTTCCTCGATCTGATCTTGATATTTCCAAAAGGATATAAAGAAAGGAGCAATAAAATAGGGGGGCAGAAAGCTTTTGTTATCATAGTAAACACCATCAGGTTTATGAACCACTTAGTTGAAGTACAACCCAATCTAATCCTTCGTATAGTCTAATAAAGATTAAAGTAAATACATGTTTTCTTCCCCTCCTTTTTTTCTTGATAATTACCCTTCTCCTGACAAGGCAGAACATGCCTAATGCAGGAACTGATCAGTTATGGATCTATTATTCTCCATATGAAGTAAGTTACCTGAATATGCCATTGTCTATCTTTCAATCTGCTTAAACCCAGTGCCTCTGAGATTTTTGCGGCGCCTAAAGCCCCTTTAACATCCTGCTTATTTGCAAATACAAGCAAACTAGCGTTTTGTAATTGCTGTATCATATTGTTGATATCACTCTTTTACAGCCTATTTAGATCTATTTTTTACTTACGTCACTTTCCATCATTTGGTGTAATTCTTGTTCGGCTAGATGAAGTCGATTTAGATCTGTACTATCAATGACCATGATGACTGCCTATGCAAACACGGTCAACCAAAAGCCTTAATTATATAAATGCTGAACACACCTTTGTATCTATATAATATGTTTTCCAAGTACTTCGCAGTGATTCTTGTCCTCCAATGTCCTTTTCAAATATATCAATGTTATGCTCCAGATCTCTCCCGTAATTCATTTACTGACCCACATTAAGAATTTAAGGTTTTTATATTCTACTTCTTCTACATTGCTTCCAATGGTAGGTGTTGTCGTAACCACTTGATTCATCAAGCTGAAATAAACGAATGAGTATGGCTACATCTCTTATGCTAATACTCACAGTTTATATAAAATTGTTGTTTTACCAGCATTATCTAAGCCTACGATGATTATCTTGACTGGTGCCTTTGAGAATAGACGACTCCATAAGTTACTAAATACAATTCCCATATGTACAATATATAAAAAGCAAACTCTTTTACAGTGCTTCCAACAAGCAATGCCGCTGCCAGTCAAAATTGATGTCGTTGACCAATCAAAATCGAAGTCATTGGTCAGTCAAAATCAATTTCGCGCTTTCAGAAATGCGAACAGATTTTATTGAATATAACGTCCTACCGAGCGCAATAAATGGCCCGCCCGGACGATATCAGAACAAAGAAAAAGAGAAAATAAAAAATCCTTTTGGATTCAAGGGTAAAAAAGAAGTGAGGAAGTCAAAGTAGTTATTGAGAGTGCTCAGGCCATCGAAGGAAATGCCTGCCCAGGGAAGTAATTTCCTGGAAAAGACAGTTGTGTTGAAGCTATCCCTGCAGCTTGCATGTGTTTCTTTAGAAAAACTGCGATTAACATTCGTACTGGTCAGGATTGGGTTAAGAAACTCAAGGATGATCCTAATTGGGGTATGTTCGAAAAACAAACCAACAAAGCCCATAGGAAAAAAAAAAGCCGGCTTCAGGATGAACATAAGGCTCATTTGATTGAGTTTTTTGATAAAAACCCCCATGCCCCAGTATCCGATGCAGTCGAGGAACTCACTAAAAATTTCGAAGGAATTACGTTGAAAGAAACAGTTGTTGGAAAATTTCAACTAAATGCAACTTGAGTATCAAAACAGTTACTCGTCACCCGGTTGCAAGAAATCAAAGCGCAAAGATCAAAGAGAGACATAAATGGGTAGAGACTTAGCCGATAACTGATATGAACTACACTGAAAATTGTATTTTTATTGACGAGAACTCCTTTGATATCAATATGAAACCACCTACTGCAAGATCAGTTCAAGGAACTCCAGTCATTGTTACTAGCCCTTCAGCACGAGTAATCATCCATACTATTCTTGGAGCCACTTCAGCCTGTGGAGTATTTAACATGAAAATTTGTGTTCCCTTGACACAAAAAAGAATTAAAGTTATGGGCGCTCAGGAACGAAAGGCAGCTGCCGTGAAAGCAAAAACACCTGGAGGAACAAACGCAGGCCATTATACCAATCTCATAAAAAAATTATGAATGAAATGGACAAGTACCCCAGTTTAAACGGTTTTACATGATAATGGATAATTTTCCTATTCACGGAAAAAACGGTGGGCTCAGCCAACTGATTGAGAGCAGAGGGTACAGATGTGCTTATCTTCCTCCGTATTTCCCTGAGCTTAATCCTATTGAGCAGTTCTGGATAATCGTGAAAGGAAAAGTAAGACGTAGCCAGTTTGGTAATATGGAGGACCTTAAAACTAGAATCGCTGAGACATGCGATTAAGTTCCCAGAAATTATCTCCATAATTTTGCACAGCATTCAGTTAGAGTATTTGAAGACTGTTAGAACAAGCTTCCCATATAAATTACATAGCAAAATAAAGTAGGTACATAATTGGTGATCACCATCAAGATATTGGCTTTTTTATTTTTTATTCTAGTCTAATTACTATAGAAAAGGCAGTACCGATCATGCCGCTAAAATAACGATGATATATAAAGTACCATTTGTTGAGAAAAGCCATCTCTTCGCTGTTGTTTCTCTCCCAAGACAAATAGAAAAAATGAGTTAGCAGCGCTCAAAGATCTAAATAAATAGGAACCGAAAATTTTTTTATGTTATCTGAAAATAAAGCGTGGCGCGAAAGAGCCTTTACCACCTCATCTTCTCCTTCCACTTCGGCAACTGTTTGATTTGATTTTTTGCAACCGGCAATTGCATTTTGCTGTGACCGACAATTACTTTTTTTGTAACCGACAACATCACCAGCCGAACTGTATCGGTTGGCCAGTCACCATTGTACTGGATGCCATTCCTTTTTGTAGGTGGAAACCGTGTTCCACGAACCCAGCAGGAACGGTCTGTTTCTTTGGCAGAAGAAGAAGACGAGCACGAGGAAAGTTCACCATCCACATTTTGATAGGGAAACACTACATGCATCAGAAAATACATCAGAAGTTAGACTATATTCTACTGGCGCTACCTCTACTCATTATCTATGATATCACCCAACAAAGCTTTCCAATATGTAGCGTCAAGCTGAAACACGACTTTATAGAGTTACCTACTTGTTTTGTTTCTTTTCAAGAAGAAGAGATAAAAAAAAATGATGTTATTTATTCCAATTTTATGTTGTCAGTTGGTCAAAAAAGATCCCTTTTGATAATTTCGTATTTACATTATTTAGCTTATTTTCTGGTGCATGTAGTGTTCACCTTTTTTTCTCTATTTACTCGTCTCAGCCAATAGACGACGTCAGACATTTGTTAATCTGTACTCTAATAATGGATAATACAAAGAGGTTGACAACTATATATGTTATTAACATATAACGTGACATGCCCAATTCTCATGGACCATGTAATAATCTTGCTTGTATATGAAATGACAATGTTGTAATAATGAGCTTTCTTTTGCTTCTCTTAATATACAATAAAGAGGCTCATCGACATGCAACCGCAATTTTCATTATTGGTTATATCCATAGCTGGTGAACGAGTAAATCGCGCGTTTTTAACCATGATTTCTGTTGGCAGAAAAGAATATTTCGTAAATGTAGATTGTGATTGTAACTCTTTCTACATGTTTGGCTGAACCCATCAATATCTTTTTACCTACCACTCAGGGCTAGAAGCATAACGACAAGAGTATTTTCATTTTATTTAACAAGTTAAGAATTAAGTTTTAATGTAATTTTATATCATAAAAGTACAAAAATAAATAAAGCTATTAGTACAAGGGGTTATTTTTGTTATCCAAAGAATCATCCTTCTATTTAACTGATGGCTCTTTTTTTATTGATGACCAGTTCGATTTCGCGAATGATATCGTTATCGTAAGGTCGGTATTGGTGAATATAATGTTTTGCTACAAGACGTGGAATGAAACATGCTGTCACTGTCAAAATAAGTGTCAACCAGTAAAAGCCGTTTCCAAAGAGACGAATATGTCCACCGAAAATAAACGTGTTGAATTGAGCATAGACTGCAACAAATGCATAATAGACCAGAATAGATAAAGAAACAATGAGCACTTGAATCCATGTGTAACTGTAGAGTGAAAAGACCACAAACAAATTGGCCACACAGACAGCGATACTGGAAATAATAGTACCGATTTCATATAGTCCATTCGCATCGTATCCATTAGGATCGATAGGCCCACCCACAAGAAGCATGTAAGGGAAAAAGAAACAGACGGCTGATTGATAGAGAGAGTCAAAGGTAGTGAGCCAGAATCTCCATACTTTAAATTTGTCATTTCGTAGTCCCATACGATAGAGTTGAGGATACTTTAATGAAGTCTCTGCATTCAAGTCTTGGTCCCAGATACCCAAAAAGATAATAGGTAATGAAGTGAAAATCAAATTGTATAATGTTATAAGTACATATTCATAGATCATACTGCCATTAAATCTATTACACCATATATTTAGTATAAGTGGATATATTATGATTGTAACAAAACTTACTGGCAGAATATTTGATACCAAAACAGAACAAAGGTCCAAACGATATTCTTGTAGAAGAAACCCATGATCATTTCAGAAGTTCGAAGATAAGACCATCTTCCGTGCACTATCAATAACTTCCTCAAGAATCTAAACTGTGCAATCGCATAATCCGATGCCATGACAGCTTGACGTCCTTCTACACCAGAGATACCTATGCCAACATTGGCCTCTTGTATCATTGAGACATCATTAGCACCATCACCAATGGCTAACGTCATGACCTTAAGTCCCTTCTTCACTAAGCGAACCACCTGGGCCTTTTGTTTGGGACTCACTCTGCAGCAAATGACACTGGCGCAGTTCATACCAATGGCAAGTACTTTATCCTTTGTTGCGTCTTCCAAGGCATACTTGAGCGTGACACCATCTATGACGAGGGCATACCTTGTGTCTTCTGAAATCTTTTCGGTCTTTATTCTTTGCAGTGTTTCGTCCAATAAGGTATTGGTATCCACACGATTATCGGCTTTAAGTACCAAGAGCTCCATGTCGGTTGTCAACAAGTTACAGGCATATCCAATGTTTATGGCTGTTTCAGTCTTGTCACCTGTCAGCACCCAAAGTTTAATACCTGACTTTGCCAACTCAGCAATAGTTTCAGGGACACCCAACTGCAAGCGGTCTTCAATGGCTGTACCACCCATCAAGAGCATGTTCTTTTCAATCTCCTCACTGACAGCATCAATACGTTCTTCACGTTGGCTAATGCTTGCTGCTGCTTCTTGGTATTTTCTATTCCATAATTTATATTCTTGAGGAGAGATAAAGCGGTATGAAAGACAAAGGGTACGAAGGCCTGAAAAGTAATGTATTAGCCATGTTGTTACTTTCTAAAAAAGATGATATTCTTACCTTCATTTGCAAATATTTCCAAATCTCGTGCGGTGGCATCTCGGAGAGTAAGCTGTTCTGATTCAAGATCTTTTTGATCACCAAAATCCGTACAGAGACGTTCATAGATGACAGAGTCAGCACCTTTACAGAGCAGCACGATACGATCGCTGTCTTTAGGTTTGATAATCACGCTCATACGCTTTCTTGTAGAATTGAATTCAAGCACGTTGAGAAGCTCGAATTCTTTCTTCTCTCCCTTGATACAAACCAGAAGCTTATTCGACTCTTTACCCAAGAAGACAAACCCTAAATCTCTCGCTGTTGCCACCAGAGCTGCTTCATCAGGTGATTGTGCCTTATACTCGATGTAATTTGGATTGCCTTCATCTGGTCGCTCTGCAATCACGGTGTGACAAAGGGCTAAGGTCTGATAAAAATGAGCAATCGCCATCGCTTGCTTCGTGTCCTGCGCCAAGTCGTCAAATAGCTTGGGATCTACGAAGGTCGGATTGGGCCCAATATACTTGTTCTCGTACAACTGGGCTTGTTTAGCAAACATCTCTTGTTTGTACTGTTCTAATTGATCGTTGCCAATGAAATCATCTTGTCCAAACTCTTGCATATTTAGACCAGCCTCTGTTTCTTTTTCCAGGTGATGTTGGCTCTGTTGTCGTTTGAGTGCTCCAAGTGTGGCTTCGGTAGTGCCCAGGCCATAGGAAACGCCGTTAATGGTGCATTTCCTATACTCCATGACGTTTTGTGTCAAGGTGCCTGTCTTGTCGGAAAATATATATTCTATTTGACCAAGGTCATCCGATATATTCCATGTTTTAGGGATGCAAGGTGTATCTGTTTCCTCATGGTACATGTCTAAATCAGCAAAGATAAAATAGGCCTAGGAATATAATATTTAGCACGATACATAATGAAAAAGGATATATGACTTACAGCAAGTGTCTTTACGATTTCGACTGAAATGTACAATGAAATAGGGACAATGTTTTGGTACAGGATAAGGGTGACCCTAGTCTTTTTGTTAATATAAAGAATAAAGAGATATCATCTTAAGCTTACCAAAATGTGATGAATCCAGAATAGGTAGCATTTGAACCTTCAATGTTATAATCAAAGTATCGAGAAGAACCGCTTCCGTTAAATTGAACGCTGTCCATGATGGAACTGATAATACAAATGATGGCCAAAATAACAAAGTTGGCAATGACCTAATAAAGATGTAAATATAAAGCAAATCTATTAACAATGAACACTTGCATGTGGATTAGTAGCCTTTGCCATTTTACTACGCTTTGAGGGAGTTCTACCCGTATTCAACATGATCTTTGTCTCACTTCCGGTATAGACCACGATACCAATCGCCCATTTGGTATTTCTTAAAACACAGCCACGCAAGAGAATGTTGTTATATGTCACTGCATCCGCTTTTTCGTGCGATACACCAGATCGTATTGTCTCTGTATCATTCACATCAATCTGCCATCGCAAGACACCATTGTACTGATAGATATTCACATGCGGAGGTTCACTCTCGATATAAAATTTTGCTTGTTCACAGTCTTGCTCAGTTCGAATGCCAGCAGTTCCTGGCAATCCTTGACGCTGTTTTAAATTGGTTTCACCATCTAAATTTTGAGTTTCCACATAACAAATATTATCCGTTTCTGAAGTGGAGAGAATGACAATGTCTGCAGGGATATCTTGATCGTTTTCAATCTTTACATAGTCACCCACATTGAGTTCTTTCCATCTGATATAATCCCATTTTGCTTGTGGTTGTTCTGCAGGTTGTTGCTTTAATTGAATAGGCTGAGTTGGATTTGCTCTATTAGGATCTGCAGAATCAATTCGATAGAGTACAGAATGGGGTATTGAGCCTGGTCTATAATAGGGTTTCTTTTGTAACAAGTTTTGGCTTGAATTATTTGAATTTCTATTAAATATGCTCGATATTTCAGATTTAATCGTATCTGATCGTTTTCTAACTGATGTCAATATTCTTTGAGGTTGTTGTATCGGTGTATGATTCAACGGCACCTTGTCTTCCTCCTTTTGTTGTTCACGTTTGGTAATATTTCTACTTATTTTGATTTGTCTATAATAGTGTGCATACTTATTTTCTGAACCAGATAATAAAGAGATGGATCCAAATAGAATATAAACATAATACCAGTATCCCTTTGAGATATCAGGTATATTCACATTTTTCCAATTTGATAGTTTCAATACTTTTGAGTTATTCACTTTATCATCACTTGAATTTCTTTTCCAATCCTCAAAAGCATCCTTGATAGCTGTGATGATTAAGATGGCGATAAGTGGTAATGCTGATACCGCTGGCTCGGTCACACCAAAGAGTGGTATACATTGTAGGATGACTAAGAATAAGAAATAGAGGTTGGCTACATTTCTGAATTGTTCAAATAGGTTTTTTGGGATGAATGAAATGGGTGTATATTTAGCTGTTCTAACTCGATTACTAACATAATGCTGCTCTTTATAATCTTCTTCTGGTATCTTCATATTGACGTAAATCTTTCTACGTGATTGCATATAGCTCGACGTTGACTCTGTTCTCCGTAATTCATTATCATATTGTTCATTTGATTTCTTTTTCTTTTTAAACAATTTAAAAAACATTTTAAAGAAAAAAAAAAAAGAAAAAGGAAGAGAAAGCACTACTTTTTTTTCTTTGGTTGTTTATTTTGGTACCACGTGGAAATTGGCATGGAGATGGAAAATCATTTGTTCGGATAAAATATCCCTTTTCGTAGGGTTAAACTATTTATGACACAATGAATTCTAAAATTACACAGAAGGCAAACACACATAATGAAAATAGTTTTAATGTTCAAATTTAGCAACATTTTTTATTATCACACAATTTAACGAGAAGTGGCAGCGGCCTTGGGAGCGAAACCCTTGGCTTGTTGCTTGCTGACCTTGGCTTGGTTACCAGCCTACAGAGTAATGATTAGTAATCAATTGAATAAATTCAAATATACACTTACAGAGGGGTTGGCCTTCTTTGCAGCAGCAGCAGCCTTCTTGGCTTCCTTGCTCTTGGCAATAGCAGCTTGACGAGCAGCAGCACGAGCATCAGGCTTTTGACTACGCTTGGCACGGATAGCATCCCAAGAGGCACCAACAACAGCACGTTCGTGCTTGACGGTACGACGAGAACGCTTCTTTTGAACTTCTTCGGTGATACCCTTCTTGTTCAAGCGACGGTAGATCACGGTCCATCTGATCTTACGAGGGTTCAAACGTTGAAGGAAGTAAGACTCGGCCTTACCGTTGATGAACTTGAAAGTCTAGAAATGATGTATTCAGCATCTAACAATTACTTTGTTGAATTAGGTTTACTTACTCTATAATATAATGTTAGCAACAACATTCAAAATTATCCATTATGAATATTTACCTAGAATCAACACGAACATAGGTCTTACCCTTGGCAGGATAGATTCTGTGACCAGAGAAAGAACAAATCTCAAGCCTATATCATCATCATCATCAGTCTATGTGTCATCGAATGGATTGATTGATATCTTTACTTCATTGTTATAAATGGGTGCTTATGGGAGAGCTGAAAGAGAGAGTATAACAAGTTCTTGCCCTTTGTCTCATAAGTAAAGGACAAACCCCCAATCTCCCCTCATCCATTCCAATCTGCTGGTAAAGAATCGGGCCAATTCCGGGCCGCACATCGGAATACTTGATTATTCCCATTTGTGGCTATTGTTTTTTGAAGCAATTAAGGGATAATGTCAATGATATTGCATAACAACAGTAACATCATCCCACACAATAACAAACATGAGCCAAGTCAATTGTACACTCACATTCAATCATAAAGATAGCATGGGAAAGTTAGTATAGAATAAAAAAATGACATCTTTTTGTGGCTTCTTTATATGTATATATTGTGTGTGTGTTATTGTCTAGACCACACACATGATCTACTGTTATTGTTCAACAAGAATAAAAAGAGAGAGTTTGAAAGACAGTGAGGTCATTTGTCCTTTTCCCTCCTTTATTATTCAAAATAATGTCAACAAAGGACAATAATGGTCAAAAAGAGGATACGATACAAGAGGATTCAAGTAGATTTCAATCGGTGGATGATCAGAAACTAAAGGAATATAATGATAACAGTCATACACCTTTATTATCAAAATCTCTCTCTGCTCAAACAAATAGTAGTGCTAGTAGCAATAGTAGGCGCATGAGACCAGATAATGATTTCGCGCCAAAGAAAGGAAAAAGACCCTATCCAATGCTCAGGGTGGATCAATTATCTGTTCAAGATATCCAAGCCATTCTTATGGAGAACTACTCCCTTCGCCAGGAAATTGAAATCATGAGTCATCAATTTCATGTCGAAAGGATGAACTTGCAACGTCGCTTAAGACATATCATGGCTCGAAATCAATATTTGGAAGAGATGCGATGGTCAAGCAAGAAAAGACATAGGCAAAAGCAGGAATCACCAGCAGAGGACCTGAAGAAGCATTTACCTGAAAGAAGAAAGTCCTTTAGCGATGTAGATGGATTAGGTCCAGTTTATCGTGATGACCATCCTTATCTTGTCTATCGTGACATGCGCCCTTTTGATGATGGTTACTATAATGATGATGAAGACGAGCATCATGAAGGTATGATTGATCAAGACGAAGAACTGGATGACAACGATCTTGACGACGACAATATGCGTTATTATAAGCCACTGAAGCATCACCCTTTCCCCCTTTTACATCCTCCGCCGCCACCTCCACATCCCAACTTTGGCCCAATGCCGCCGCCGCCTCCTCATCACATCGGTTATCCTCCTCATCATCAACATCCCCCTCCACAGCCATGGATGATGAATGATATACCCTATGATCCACCTTCTTTATACAGAAAGAGATCAAAGAGTAAAGGTAGATTCATTCCTAACGAAGACGAACATCATGAAAACGAAGAGTCTATTCTGCACATGATGCATCAAATGGCGCTTGGACCACCTCCACCTATTCCAATGCTTCCTCCACAATCCCCTCTTGTTCCACCCATGGTTTCCCTACACAACAATAATCGTCGACGTAAATCTTCGTCTTATATCTGATCTTTTTATTCGTTAAAAATCTAATAAAAGCTGTGGTAAGATCCTTTCCAATGCTTCAACGCTAAGCACATTCTTATTGGCTGTTTGCGATGTAATAGCCATCGTCTCCAATTCCTCAGAAGATCGATGTACAGCCTCTAAAGATAACATTCATTTTCTGTTTTATATACATTTACTGTTAACTTACCAGTAACGAGATGTCTCAAGAGCTCACTAAACAGTTGTAATGCCTCCTTGTTTACTATTGATTAACATTAGAATCAGTCAAGTTGCCCTCATTTTACTTGTTCAACTTTTTATTGAATCGCTCTTCCAAGCCGACTTGAGAATATTGTGTACAAGGTCCTACCATGCCCTATATTAAACTTACTTTCAGAACATTCGTTTTATTATTTTACCTGATTTAGTTCAGGAATGTCGTCCATAATCTACAAATAAAGGAAAAGATAAAAAAGCGCATGAAACTGCCACTCTGTCTGGCATTTAATTAGTAAGACACATGCAAGGCTAAACGCCCTCTCTCTCTTTTTCTCCAATGGGCAATTGACCATTTTTGGATTGACCCTCAAGTCAAGTTTGAAATAAAGTTTCTCTCTGTATTTCTATATCCCAAAATTATGTAAAAAAAAGGGACTTGAATGTTTATTAGGAACAAAAATAATGTTTCAGGGAGGGAACAAGATGGGCAGAAAGAGGCTTCTTTCATTAAGAATATATATATCTGAAAAGGGGGGAGGCGAAAAAAGAGATACAGAAAGGTCATTTATTAAACGTTCATCGCAGACAATCAATGTCAAAAAAAGGTTACCTAGCAACTGATTGAGGTTACCTTTTTCATTTAAAAAGATGTTTCCATGGTTAGATAACATTGAGAAGTTATTTTTTTAGAAACATGTGTATGAGACCAAAAGGAGAGGTGAGGGGCAAGGTATTTTTATGCATATAAATACACAACTTGTAATCTACTTTTTGCTTTGTTTTCTTTCACTTGACACAAATATACATCATGGATACCTGCGCAAATTGTTCACGAAGAGTTTATGTTATCGAGAAAGTCGAGGCAAATGGTCGTATATATCACAAGAGTTGCTTCAAGGTAAGGTTGGTAATGTTATATAAAAGTCAATTGACACCCGATTATAAATAGTGTAAAGATGAAGGATGTCGCTTGACTTTAGCCAATTTTCATTATTATGGTGGTGATCTCTATTGTCCAAAACACGTCCCTAAATTTAACGCAATCGTCTCTCCAAGAACGTCCAAGGCTTCATTATAACTCATTCATTATACCACAAAAAAAAAAGACATTCTATAATAAACTAATAACATAAACTTGTTTCCTTTCTTGATTAAGCATGATGTTTATTCTAATGAATCACATGAGGGAATCAATGATACAAATGTTTATGCTAAACCTCCATTTCCTACTACTTCTGTCTCCTTGTCATCAACAGGTATTTCTAGGGGCATATATATCAGGTAGACTACAAAGGCAAAATAGATGAGCCCAAACACGACCGCATACGTTGGCCAACTTAAGTCATCCAAGTAATTCAAAAAAAGATACACATTGAATCCAATAACAATAAAAGATATTGACCAGGCAATTAAATTCATGATGAGCGAATTCTTAAAATTGGGAGACATAATCTTGGAGGAGGCAGTTAACTTTAATATAGGTATAATGGCTGCAGGAAGACAGAGACTATAAAGACAACAAGAGTTAAGAACGAGGTATGCTATGAACGTTTTCACTTGCCTTTGTAAAACATTTAAAAACTCGCCCATGGTGTCAAATCTATCAACTGCATAAATAGCAACAATCATGCTAGGAACAAGCGCAACTGCGCGCGTGACAGCAACTCGATGCCACTGCTTCTTAAAGATAGCTCCTAGAAATCCTTCGACAACCTATCCAACTTTGGTTAGACTCGACATGGACAAATGGACGGACTTACATATTGCCCCGCTAAGGTCCCTGTCATGGTCGAGCATTGACCTGCAGCTAGTAAGCCTAAGGCCCAAAAATACTTTGCATATTTTCCCAGTGTGCTTGATAACACCTCAGAGGCATCGTACAGACCAGGCAGTTGTGTGATCACCTGTCCTGGATTGTAAAATACCTGAGCAAACACAACAACAATGGCAAGATTAATCAGGTATGATGTGATAAGGGCTAGTGTAGATTCAATAGCAAAATAAAAATTGGCTTCCTTCTTTTTGTTATCACTTGGATTTTGCCCTAAATGCCGAGACATGACCAGTGCACTACATCTTACATTAGTATGTGTTTCCCCTTTCTTTGTTGAAATTTTTCTATTATACCTGTGCAGAAACATATTGTGAGGCATAATGACACATCCAACCATACCTACTGCTTGGACCTTGGCATCTTCAGGAATCTCGGGCACTAGAATGCCTTTTAGTAATAGCTCCATGTTTGGATGGGAAGCAAACATTTCGATCCAGAAGCATGCGATCATAAGTCCAATCAAGCTCATGAAGAAGGTCTCCATCTTTCGTACCCCGTATTGCTGCAGCCACATAAAAAAGAATGTATCAGTCGCAGTAATCATCACACCTATCCACAGCTTGAGCCGAAAGATGATTTTAAGTGCGATGGCTGTACCAATGATTTCCTGTATGTCGGACCCAATGATGGCCAACTGTGTAAATATCCATATCATCACTGATGCTGGTCGTGTATAGTTTTTGCGGATCAGCTGTGCTAGATGCTTTTGTGTCACTACCCCTAATCTCGCAGAAAGTATTTGAATCATCAATCCTGCCATGTGAGACCATAGTAGCAACCACAAGAGTTTGTATCCTGCTATGGCTCCTGCTTGTAAGTCTGATTCTAGGTTTCCTGGATCTAAATACGCGATAGACCTAATGTTTTATCAATACATAATCATATGCATGTATAGCTGCATTAATTTACATCAACCAGCCTATAAATGAAAAAATGGTCATGATTCACGATCTGAATAATCATCAAGAATTTACCTGGGCCTGTGTACTTTAATAGTTTTTGAAATGAAAATGTAAACCTCTCTTCTTCTGGCCCAGTATTCACTTGTCCTTTAACATCAATTTCAACATTCCAATTGTAACCTTGACGATCATCAGTTAGGGTATTGTAGCTACTGCTTTCGAGACTAGGTTGAATTAAACTTGAATTCTCTGAAGGCTCTCCTCGATGCTTCATATTATTATATGAATAGAATAGCTAAAAAAAGAAAAAAAAGAAAAGAAAAGAAAGGCTGAATTTATTCAGATTAGCTTCCTTTTATAGATCGTATCACCGCACCCGTTTTTCATTTTACATTTGAAAGCGGATAATCAAATAAAATATATGATCTCATCAAGCAGTGAAGGTCAATTAAACAGTTGATTCTCCATATACCGAGCCAAAATATGTAATGATGGATTTAGACTAGAGATTGTTACCACTAATACACTCTTTCCAGAAAGTAAATTCGCCTTTTGGTGAACAGTAAATGCACTCAATGGCGAGAACAAAATGTATGTTGTACGAAATGTAAATTTCGCCCTAACTTGTCGCATTCATGTAAAGCTGTATTATAGAATTCCATAAAATGCGACATTGTTTTCTGAAAAACACTGTGTACAAGCCTTGGTATCTATGAGTATATAAGAGCACACCAAGTGCTAGTCTTATTTTTTTCTACATTTACACTTGAAACCACGTGATAATGAACATTCAATCCTTGTATGGAAATGAGAAAGGTTCTGTCATGGACGAGTACGGTAGACCGGAATCAATGGATTATATTGCTGATAAGGAGCAGTTTTCGTCGTCAAACATTGAGTTCTCATACGTAATATTTAGCTCAACTGCCTCGGAAAATTGAGAAAGTGATAGCGTAGTATCCACGCTATTATTCAGTGCTTAAACGTAGTTAGCTCCGCAGCTTCTTGCGAATATAGAATACAACCTAAAGTTGTAAAGACAAAGATCAGATACCACTTTCAGCTTGGACATAATCCTCAACAAGCCCTCAATTACCTTCAGTCCGAAAAGTTCGATAACATTACAAAAAAGGTCTTGAGAACATGCATTATCACTTCTACACCTCTGAAAAAGGTAAGAAAATGTTGATTATATTGTTGCTTGCAAGAGAGGAACTATATAGCTCATTACACCATCAATGCCAATAATGAACTAGACATGATTTTTCCTGCCATGAGGAAACTATTCTGAAAGCTAAACGCATGCCTGAGAGCTTAATCATTGATGCAACGTACAAGTCGAATGCCCACAAGCAAGCATTCATAAACATAGTTGGTGCAAGCAGTGTGGTGTCTCGTAACCTTGATTCTTTGGCCACTCTCGAGATTGTAGGAGCTTGGGTTATTGAAGAGCAAACATATAACTATGCATGGGCCCTCAATTGCTTAAAAGAGACAGTGTGGCCAGCATCACTTGATCAGCAAACACCTCTTCCTTCGGTGCTTGTAACTGATAACGACAAGGCACTTGGATCTGCAATAGTGTCCGTCTTTCCTTGTTCTTTGAACATTCTATGCTATGTTCATCTGCAAAAAAAAAAAAAAAAATTTGAACGTAATCTCATGCAAGAAGTGATAAAAAAAGAAAAAACTGATCAAACTCGACATCCAAAAAATTGTTTTGATAGCTGAAACAGAGCAACAAATGAAAGAAGCTGTTAAAGAATTCAAAGACTATTTTCTTCAGGATGGAATCTGTAAGTTGTCGCATGTCTTTAATGGAAGAACAAGCTCTCCTTTTATAGCAACAAACAGTCGAGATACAACAAAAATCCGCTTGTCACCATGCAACTACGGATCACGAAAGAGCTACCCGCTTTCATGAGGCGTACATTATTGATGTAGCTTATGGCACAAACAGCTTGAAGATGCCATTAATCTGTGTTTATGGTGTAAGCAGTCTTGGTAGACAAACTCTGAAGACTTTCCCGATCACGTTTGCTTGGGTAGCAAACGAAAGAGAAGAGGCCTATTCCTGGTCCTTGAAGACATTAGACAACGTGCTTGGAGAAGTACCAAAAGAAACTATAGTCATACCGACAGGTACACTGTTTTTATGAATCAGTTGGATTGTTTATTCCCATTGAACAAAAAAATTCTCTGCACATGGCATCTCTTGAACAACCTTGATAAGAATTGCACTGCATCTTTATTTAAGAACAATTCAAAGGCTGCGTAAAAAACATTATGAATAAGCCAAGCTTTGCAGAATTTTTGAAAAATGGAAACAGAATAAGGATTTGTTTGTGAATGAAGTCGAACGAATCAAGCTCAAAAATTACTATGAAATCGAGTGGAAGCTTCATTTAGAAAAATGGGCAGCGATTTACACTTCAAAGCTCCAGCGTATGCGCTGCACCACAACTCAAAGAGCCGACAGTGACCATAGTGCTCTGAAAAAAGGGATGTTTGCTGTACAGCCTCTTCAGATGTCGTTTGAAGAGATCAATGATTATATAGAAAAGTTAGGAAGAGGCTTCAACGATCTGCAGCAAAAAGAAAAAAGCAAGCAATCAGGATGGACTGCTTGTACCAATGAGTTTTTTGCCAGTTAATTTATCGAAGAATCTCTCTGTATAACCTGCTCCAATTTACCTACAAAATATTATTGATATACATTGGGGAGCTGTAATGCTAAGCCATTCACATAGCAACCCCCAATAGTATATTTTAGAATGCAAGGAAAAGAAGAAGAGTACAAAAAACACTAGAATCACTAGGATTGATTACCAAAAAGAAGATAGATAAAAATCTTTCTCCAAATGAGGTTCAAATAATTAATATAGATTAAAATAAACACTTGTTTATTCTTTGGATTGAAGTTTAACGTTTACACTTGCATGAAGGCTTAAGGAACAACTACCATAGGTTGTAATAAATATTTTGTATTTAACTCTCAAACAGCAAAGTAGCTAGTATTTTTATAGTAATGCTTAGACATCAGTTTTGGATATGTGAATGTGGTGTCCCTCAAGAAATTTGTTTTTAACTGCCTAAGATAAATTTATACCATCTCTTAGTCACGATTACTTATGTTTATATATGCGTAAAGGCATTGATATTAAAGAGTACATTCAAGTAAAAAATTTCTATAAGAAAATATTATTACCAAAGATAGTAATAGCCACTATTATTCAAAACTTCGATAGTCGGGAGTGTGATATCTTGTACTTGGAAAGGGGGCCATGAGCTTCAAACCTTGGTTTTAAGTACATGGAATACTTATCAATGTCTACTGTTGAAGCTGGATATTTTGACGAGTATGTTTCCCGTCGTTTAACAAGTTCAGGCTTCATATTTTTTCTCACCTTTCTGAACTTCCTTGACATCGTTTCTTTGCTGCACTTGTTAATTGTGTATCAATACAGATCTCTATTGTTTTCTTTTCGCATTTTTCATGCATACAATACAGCATATCTCTTCGACTAGGATCTATAATATACATTTGCCAGTTGCCTTCTAAAGTTCTTTTGTTTTTGTTTATATATGTTGGTGTAATCGCCGTCATTCTCAAGAGAGGATCTGCACCAACGCTCCTCGTGCCATCCTTAGATGTTACTTGGTTCTGCTTGAGGACACAGACGTCAATACCGTCGGTATGGATCATACACAAAACTTGATTACTTTTGTCACACCTGTGATATTACTGAAAAAAATAACTATTTGATTAAAGGAATGTTGTCGAATACAATAAATTATAGGTGTTATGAATCAGTATTGTGAGCTTAATATCACGTAGTTTAATATTGAAATATGTAAGGTAATTCTGGCTTATATCACGAATGGTTTTATATGTACATAGCACAGGTTTTGCTTGTAGATAGAGTAAATACGCCATATATTATCTAATGGTCCTATTTCTCAGTTTGTCTCGGTGAACCATCTGAACTGAGTGGCTTTTTGGCTTGTATTGCTCTATCTGTAGGTTTGAGTCTCATGGTTTGGTCAAGCCTATCTCTCGGTCATCATGCTCAGGTCATTAATACTCGTGCCACTACCAGGTGAATGTGATTTTTTTTTTTCTTTTTCATTAAATGGTTATATATAAACATATCTGTGCAGTTGGATTAGCGTCTAATTAGGGTGAAAAGCTAAAAAGATAACTATAGCCAATGCACTTGCCCGCATACAAAGATGCAAAGCAGTGGTTCAATCGAGGGAATGAGTAGCGCGGTACCGCCCATTGTCAAAGATTCGCAAATACCACGACTCTGCTCATGCCCGTAGTTTTATAAAAAAGAAAAAAGAAAAATACGAGAGGCATCCCCTTATACCCTCGTGCTTTGAGATGTGTTTGAATTTTTTAAAAAACGATAAGGATTAACGGTCACAACCTTTGTCCTTAAATACGTGAATTAGTTGTGTATGCCTGTATACCTATTTATTGCTATTATTGTTCTTTGTAAGATAAACTTGCCAAAAGTTAGTACGCAAACTAGAGAATGAAAAAAAGGCTATTTTTTCTATAAAATATTACTGAGCGCACATAAGCCACAGTTTCCAAAAATTTTTTGAAGCAGCCAAAGCAGGAGGTACAGTCACGCCAAGCTCTATTTTATAAAGCATCCATTTCAGCTGAAAACGTGTCAACAAAAGAACGCGATCCTTAGCGAGTATGTGAAGGAAAAGAAAATACTGAGATGTATATTATCTTAGGAAAACAAGGTATTCTCTTGACGACATAGTTGAGATGCCAAAATCAACAGCACAGTGGCCCAGAAAAAGTGTTGGCCATTTTTTAAACGGTTTTCTTAGGGGACACCACACTCCCGACTCTTCGGAATTTGAATAATAGTGATTATTGCTATCTTTGGTAATAATATCTCTTATAGAAACCTTTATTCGAGTATACTCTTTAATATCAATACCTTTGAGCATATATAAGCGAGGGAAATAATTACTGAAAAGTAATATAAGCTTATTTTAGATAGTTGAAAGCAGTTTTCTTATGGGACACCATACTCACATATTCTGACTGACGTCTAAGGATTAATTACCAAATATGGTAGCGTCCCATAAGAGTCACAAAATTACTTACTACATTTGGTAGTGGCGCCCCATGAGCTCTCATGCAAATGTAAACCCTAAACTTCGATCTAAGGATTAAACACGTATTTATTTTAACTTATATTAACTGTTTGACCTTCATTTGGAGGAAGATTTTTATCTATCTTCTTTTTAGGAATTAACCCTAGTGACTCCAGTACTTTCTGTACTCTTCTTTTTCCTACATTCTGAAATTAGTATTCTTATGGGACACCACTACCATATTTGGTAAGTAATCCTTAGACGTCAGTTTGAATATAGGAACTTTTTTCTATTATCTAGTTACGTTTAACTCTGTTTTTGATAATGCAAGGTTCCTATATAGTGATTAAGGGGAAAGTAGAAAAGCACATGGATGCATTTCCTCTTTTTCTCAAACTAACAGCTGAATTTCAACAGTGCCACAAATGAGAGTAATTTATATACAAAATGTAGTAATTGATCATAACCTAGTCTGAAATAAGAAATACTCAGCGCCACAGTGCCTCTTTGCTGTATTCCGCGTATTTATCTATAATTAATATGTTCAAAAGGTTCTTCTCTTTTTATTTTTTTAAAGAAAAAAACGCGTTTTTAGTATAAAGAAGTTTATCCATATCTTAAACATGCGAATGTATAAATACAAAAGTCAACTCGTGTTCCCGTTTTGAAGCTGTGTTTGTTTGCTACAACTGAGCGGCAAATTCTTCCGAGGGAGTGAGGTAATAGTGATTACTGACGTGTATTAAAAAATAAAAAAGCTTGAACAAAGCGAGATATACACAAGCTGCATTGTAGTAGTAAATTCTTTAAAAAGTCTGTTTGAAAGAATCTTTTTAACTGAAGCAAGCGAACAAACTTTGTGGACATGAGATTATTTTCTGGAAAGGTCTTAAAATTTAAAGTTCAGTGTCTAGAAAATACCGTCCATATCTTCATCCGCTTTTCCGTTTAAAGTCATGTCTGGGCAAAAATGTTACAGAAAGCTATAAAAAGGGCATGGGCTGCACTCTAGCTTTCTTTACAACTTTCTTTTTTTTTTTTGACAATGAGCTACTTAGCAGGACGTACATTCTTTATCAAGAGTCAATTCAATGGACGCGTGCTCGATGTTGAAGGCGCTTCTACTGAGGTAAGTTATGGGATCTTCTTGACCCTACTCTCTTTTTTACTTATATACCCATACAGGATGACGCCCCCGTGATTGTTTATACCCAAAAATATGATGATAACTTGAACCAACTCTGGCGTTATGAAAATGGTTACTTTGTCAACGTCAACTCTGCCAAGGTTTTGGATATCCGTGGTGGCCAAATGGACCCTGAATCTGAAATTATTCAATACTCTCAAAAAGTATACGAAGAAGCTGTGAACCAAAGATGGAACATTGATGGGGAGGGCTATATCTATATTGAAGCTCGTCCTGACTTAGTCTTGGACATTCAAGGAGCCGAGGATGAAGATGGTGTTCCCGTCATCTTGTACAATAGACGTGAGGGTGAGGTCTCTTCAAACCAACGTTGGGTGTTGGAACCAGTTGATTAAATAAAATGTATTTTATTGCTGTATACCATTTACTGTCTTTGCTTTTATCAACAGTAGTACTGCTGGTCGTGTCTACGGAATTGGACGCAGGTATTAGAATTTACTGTATGGTCACACCAAATAATGCTCATTACTGAGAGGATATCTCAGTTACAAGTAAGCTTGAATAATATCACTATGTGCTACTTCAAGATTAGAAGGGTTTATTAAATGAGCAATGACGTTAGGTGCATCCTTGTATGAACGCAGTCCATATTAACAAATCTCTGGTGAATTAAAAAGAAGCTTTTACAATGAAATAAATCATTATAAATTCATTGCTCTCAAGCACTGGGCTATAAGTATATATTCTCAATAATATTAAAGTAATATGATGTGTAAGTTCCCAGTTAACTTGACTGCATGAAGGAAAACAAAAATGCTTATGCTACATTAGGTACAGCAAGTATTAACCTTCATGATTACTCGTCTGCTTTTTTTCTTCCTTAAACAAAACATAAAAGCTGGCCAGGCCTACAGAAACTGCAAATATTTACCAACCTGAGAGCCTTGGTGGCCTCAGTGAAATACTCAAAAACAACGAGAAAGCCGTAGTTTACTTTAATGACCCTTTCTATATTGATTGCAAAATTACAAAGCCTATCATTCGCAGCCTTGCTTATAAATACAGGAATATCCACATCTTCTTTGTTAATATTGATCGTCACAAGGTAAGTATAGAATGAAACAAAAAGGCTTTGGTAAGGTTTTTGTTATCTTTTGATAAGCGTTTTAATTCATCCCATATGGCATTTAATCGTATTTCCCTTGACAAAAATTTTGTTGCTGGTATACTTTTAGCTAATTCCTCCATCAGCAGCCATATAACGTTGTGATTATAGCATACTGCAAGCAGTTGAACGTTTGAATCTTTAGCAAATATCCCGGACACACTACAAACAACAAAACAAGTTCAATAACTCAGTTCAATTACTCTTTCCAATACAGTCACAGACAAAATGTTTCGCGATTTTTTTACATGAAAATATATCTCTAATTCAATATACAATAGCTTGGTGAATACTTTATAAAAGCCTATGAAACTTAAATTATAAGGAGACGCGTATGCTTATTTTATAAAGATTTAAAAAAAATGTATATTAATATTTTGTGTGTCTACCTCGAGTATCTATTACTGCCTGATATCGTTCTCGCATACTCTCTGCCAAACGCCCAGCAAGTTCTATGCCTACTCTCTTCCATTCTACTTCAAGTGCAGCCCTCAAATCTTACACACTTTTAATGGAAGCCCCTACTTCCCTCAATCCATTCTCTAGGACCCACCAAACATACTCCATCGAATTTAAGTCGGGATTTTGAGCGGACCAGTAGTCAAAGCCTCGAATTGCATGTGTTTATTTCCACCACCTCGCGTAGATGCCAGTATGGTAGCTAGCGCCGTCTTCTTGGAAAATAAAGGCTTTGTCTTCCTCTTTTGCCAGATTTATAAACTAAGGAAGAAGTCGTTCAGCCAAAATGTTGATGTATTCCTCTTGGTTTACAGTGCCATCCGCAAAGATCACCGAAATCATCTATCACAAGACCACACACTGTTCTTGGCTACTGTGGCACAAGACAATACAAATACATGGCAGTCGGTTAAGCCAGCTACAATTGCTCCCTGGCTGAAAGAGGCTATGGAGGAAGCCGGCATAGGCACAGATAGGTTCACCGTCCACTTGATTCGGCCGGCTTCAAGTACCAAGGCTGTTACAATAGGATCAGGGATCGATTAGGCAAAGATGCACGCAAACTTGAGCCTCAAGCCAGGTCCTTTCGAGAATTGCTATTACAAGCCGCATGATCAACACAAGCGAGGATGAGAAATGGCCAACAAGATTTTTGGTGAAGTTACCGAAAACAGAACCACATCCGAAGTCGGAGTGGAGTCAGCAATGATTGTCGTAGGAACGACTGACAATTGCGGTACCCGCACAGGTTGAAATAAGCATGAGCCCTAACACCACCAAGTCTTAGCCTGCCAGTTATAGCGATTAGTTTATCTCACTCTATCCACTCCCATTAGATTGTATGCTTTCCCCCTCCACCATCAGTACCTTCCCATCCTCACCACGTTATACACCCCACCTTGTTGAACTTGCCCGGGCAATTACAGTATAAAAAAAAAAATACTGCGTGCCCATTTGGGTTTAATAAAAAGATTGTTTAACCGTACCAATACTACCACTAATGTCAATACCAGTGTCAATACTACTACTGATCCTAGTGCCACAACAGTTATATCCGATGATGGACTGGATACCAGTACTACTACCAATGTTAGTGCCACTGATGATAGATTGGATATTGATGTTGAGAATACAAAGCTCAAATTAACAAAAATGCTAAAAGAAAAGTACAGAAGATCGAAAAGTTATTAGAGGAAATTCCAAAATTCCAAAACAAAAAAGCAGTGGGTGTTGGAAGCAATTGAGAGATAAATACTTTATTAAGCACTTTCTTTAATCGACGTCTTCCACGGGCCGCTTTTGCCACCTGTTTTTTCAACCACTCTTATATTTTCAATTCTCATTTCCTTTGTTGCTGCCTTACACATATCATACACAGTCAAGAGCGCAACACTTGTCGCCGTCAGAGCTTCCATCTCAACACCAGTCTTGCCTGATGTTTGAACGATAGATTCACATTCAACACTCTTTCTATGGTCATCTAACCAAAGACGCACGTCGATTAATCCCAAAAGCAGAGGGTGGCACAGAGGAATAAGGTTAGAAGTAGATTTAGCTGCTTGAATACCGGCTATTTTTGCTACAGTTAGCACATCTCCCTTTGGTGAATGTGCGTCATTCTTCTTTAGTAGCTCATAGGCATGCTCTGGTAACATAATTCTTCCAATGGCTTTTGCTTCTCTTTTTGTAGGCACCTTATCTGTTACTGACACCATACGTGCCTCTCCTGTTTCTGGATCTGTGTGAGTCAGACGAGGGTCGCTGTCACTCTTTGAGGAATACAATCGTTGATTGCTTGCAAGGAATCCTGAATGCGTTATGGGAGGTAGAGAATGAAAAGGCATCAAATGGTTGAAGCGGTATTTGCTACTATTGTCTATCTTTACTTATTAATTGTTTGCTTTCATCAAAGAACGAGGGACAATTGTATCATTACAGCAATGAGAATATTATTGTTTATATAAATATATTTGCAGGTTATCTACACTGTGCTTAAAGTTGGCCTCAGCTGTAATGACACATTATCCACCAATAAGGATCATGGGTCTATTTTTTCTTGAGGCCAATTCGAACATACCTGCATGTTGCCTTTTCTTCTTTTTTACAGCTGTACTAATAACTTGAACCAGCTCTTCATCAGCTTTGCCTTCTCGCATCAGATCACGTAATGACACCTCTGTGTTGCCAAACAAGCACACTTTAATACTTCCATCAGCCGTGATTCGTAGTCTATTACAAGTACTGCAAAAATGATCTGTCATGGATGTGATGAAGCCAATGCGTCCTTTGTAACCAGGAAGCTGATAATGCTATTCTTTTCCTTTTAGCAAAAGTCAACCAAAAGGAGTCAAAGATATTACCTTTGTTGTGTCATTAGGACTATCCCTCACTTTAACCAATCTTCCAAATTTAGACTCAATGTTGCCTTTTAATTCAGTATAAGGCACCAGTTTGTTCTTGTTCCATCTGTTACCATCGAATGGCATGTATTCTATAAATCTCACATTGATCGGACGATCCTTTGTATAACTAACGAAATCCGGCACTTCTTGATCATTGATACCACGCATGACAACCGTATTTATCTTTACATGTGGTATTCCCAAGCGAATAGCTTCATCAATTGAGCCAATGACTTTATCAAACCCCCTCCTTCTCGTCATGATCTCAAATAGGTGAGGGTCTAGAGTGTCAAGGCTGAGGTTGATGGTATCCAGACCGGCCTCATAAAGGGAAGGCAATTTTCGTTTTAAAGCAATACCGTTGGATGTCATTGCTAAACTTTCAAGGCCTCTCGTTTTAAGTTTCCCGATTCCCTGTACTAATTCTACAATATCTGATCGAACCGTAGGCTCACCACCTGTTAGTCGGATCTTGGTGACTCCTTGCTCCACAAATAAACTGGCCAAGTGTAGTATCTCTTCTTTTGTAAGAAGTTGTGCGTTGGGCGTTAATTGAACTCCTTCTTCTGGCATGCAGTAAGTACCTTTTTTAAAATGTTATTTATGCATCAATATGTAGAGTTGATTTTACTTACAACGTAAATTGCATTTTTCGGTCAAGGAGATGCGAAGGTAATTATGACGTCGACTGAACGTATCAACTAGAGTGTCATTCACTGTTGTTGCTGGATTAGTTGAATGATCATATGCAACTGAAAGAGAAGAGTATGATTTTCGTACTGTGTTTGACTTATTGGCTAATATGTAACAGCAAACGTTTCGAGGATTCTGGGACAGAATGTGTTAGTATAGGTCTATACTTGGTAGTATAGGATGTTTTACCAAGAGTCTATGCAGCATCATTCAGTAAAGGTATATATAAAAGAAGCGCAGCGAGACTTTATAAAGATATCTAATCTAAGTGACGGTTCCATCAGCAGGAACGAATGACACATACACTCTTTCCGGAAAGTAAATTCATCCAATGACGAAAACGAATTCAGGTTGTACGGAAAATGAATTCGCCTGATGACAGGAACAAACTTCGTGTTGTGCGAAATATAAATTCGTCTTGACTGACAAATCATATGTCCTGTTGCCAAGATTGTTTTGTAGGACAAGTCTTAGCATCTTTGAATGTAAAAGAGTACGCCTAGTGTTTGTCTGTGTTTTATTTCTTTTTCACAATTACATCACTAATCACAGATAATGAACATTCAATTCTTGTTTAAAATTGGGGAAGGGTCTGTCGTCGACGAGTATAGCAGACCTGAACCAATGGATTATATTGATGAGGAGCAGTTTCGTCTTGAAACGTTGAGTTCTCATACACAGTATTTAGCTTAACTGCCTCTGGAGAGCAAGAAAAGGATAGATGCAATACAGGTAGAAAAGAAAGCAAAGCCTAACGGTAATGTCATTTTGAAGGAAATTTCAGTGAAGCAAAATTATACACGCAATTCTGATCAGGACAAAGTAAGACTCTTCAAATTGTTGTTTGAGTGCGGCCACTGCTGCAAAACAACTTAGGATTCATGTTTGTACAGCACAAAAATGGGCTGCACAATACGAGAAAAATCCTGACAGAATCTTTGAGAAACGATGAAAGACTGGTCGTCCACATATTCTCCATGACGAACACAAAAGCGCTATCCTCGAGTGCATTGATGAGAATCCTTCCATCGTCCTAGACGAAGTAGTGATGAAGTTAAAGCAAATGTTTACCGAATTGAAAGTATTTAAAACTACCTTGTTCGATTTTGTAAAACAACATTGCAGTCTATCTCATAAGAAAGCTCGTCTTCAACCCATAGACCGGAATAGTGAAGAAAAGATTCAAGAGCGCTTGGATTGGGTTCGTAAATGGGAAAAAATAGACTTGGTTTCTACGATAAACTGTGTCTTTCTTGACGAATCTGCTTTCCATGTTAATTTGAAATGTAGTATGGCGTGCTCAAAGAAAGGCGCACCAGTAATGGCCACAGTTCCCAAAACACGAGCGACAATGAAACACGAATATATTCAGACGCGACGCTTTCCGCAATGGGTGCAATGGATCTACCGGATAACGAAAAGTAGAAGAAATTGCTGATTGCAGAACTCGCCGATTTGCACCCAATGGCGACCTTTGATAAAAACAATAGGGAACACAAAATGCCTGATCATCCCGCAAACATTTCTAGCCTCTTGGCTTCACAACTTGGTTACCAGACTCCAGCGTTCAAAGCAATCACACCGATGAAGCGCAGTCATTTCCAAATGTTGGATGCAGACGACTAACGACCTGCTGCATCCATTTTATCCCATCTGATCGCTAATAGCCATCTGACATGTATCTCTGCAACAGATTATACGGAAATGGATAAAAATATCGTCACCATATTGAACATTGACTGGATACGACGTCCATGGATGCATGTATTTTGTGCTCGTGCAATGGAGAGACTGATTCTTGCCAATAGGCGCGAAGGTCTGCTTGCGAATTGTGCAGAAATGTACAGTCGATATCCCACATTGGATGCTCATCATGAACAAACTAAGATCAAGCGCTATCAATCCTTAAACATAACCTTACCGCATCCAACTACGAAATACCCAAATGTGGAACTGTTCATTGTCGAAAAAGATAACAGTCTCAAATCTGAACTTGGCACGAAAATCATGGATGTCCTCATTTCATCATTCATCCGAATTGACAAAAATCAGCCTCCAGCTGTTGGTCCATCCGGCACAAATGAGTTCAGTGTCAGCAAAGATACTATCATCTTTATCCGACGATCGTTTATTGAATGGTATGGCGATCTGCGACAATGAGGATTCAACGATCTGTCCATCCGCGAATTATATCCATTTGACGAGTACGTGCAATTACGACAAGTGCGGTCCAAGTTCCATAGAACCTAAATTCATTTCCATCATTGGGTGAATTTACTTTCCGGAAAGAGTGTATTTCGAGAAATGCGAATTTATTATAATTACAGGTAAGCCAAGTGGTCTTTGTTGATGGAGCCGACAAGTGTACTTACGTAATACAAGTTTATTAAGAAAAATAAGACCAACCAGGTGATGCCAGTACGTAAATTTTGTCTGTTCTTTTCAAGATCAATGAAGGAACAGGGTTCGTATAAACAAATGAAAGCTCATTTCCCATATTTTCATCAGGTGCACGCAAGAGACCAAGTGCTACTACTTCATGATCTAATATCAGACTTTCAAACAACGCCGAAAACGGTTTACCAATGAATAAAGGTGGCAGGACGACGAGCATAAGGTGTCTAGAGCTTTTGAAAAGATGAGAATGAAATTTTGTTCCACACATGAGCATATGAGCAGTGTCTTTGTCATAAAGCGGTCCAGGCATACCACATAGAGCTTTAATGACAGACACAATATCTGGCTTATAGTACGTTTGACTGAGCAATACGTTACTTAATAAACTATCAACCACGACATTTCCAGCAGCATATGCTGGTGTGTAAAACACATCGATTTCCTCAGCAACGTCTTTCCCTTGTAGCAAGTGCATGAACCGAATATTGGATTTTTCAACTATCAAAGAAAAATCAGGATTCCCTTTTTGTGATTATATGTATTCTTTTTACCAAGGTTTACAATGCGTGAAGAATCATAGGGTCGATCTTGCAGTAAGAGATCAAGAAGATGGCTCGTCATACTGTTGAGGTTGAGATTAAATGTCCATGTTTAAAATAGTGCTACAATACTTACATTGCTGGACTATCTGAAGTTCTTTGATGTTGATCCAAGCATTCTCTTTCACTAGAATATCATGGTAAATGTTGAAAAAAAAAAAAGACTTTTTCATCATCCATAAAATAAACTTACCTCATTACAACAACTTGCTTTGCTCGTTTAACACCGGCTTTGATCAAATCTTCGGGATGTTGGCAGTCACCCTGACAATAGATAGATTAGAATTTATTAGTGTGCGTATTGAAATCAGCTTACCACCATGAAAAAGACCTTAGGAAACCGACAGAGAGATTCAAATGTTTTTGGTGTAGGCAAAGAAGTGCACAAAAAGACAATATCCTGAAGTTCATTTGGCTTCAATTGTGGTGACCTTAAACAAAAGTTAATACTATAAATATATATATATATACATTGACTTGATGACATACCTTAGGTTGAAGATAAACTTGAATATGTTGGATACCTTGTGATGCATACAAACTACAATATGGCCAGCCAAATGCTCAGCCGATTCAATAGTCAGTTCACGTAAAGTAGCTGGTTTATCAAGCAAGTAACACACAGGCGAAGCTTCAATGTCTGTATCAGGATGTTCCAGAGTAGGTAGCTGTCCTAAGCGACTTACAAGTCTTCTGCTTCCTGTCAAGAGAGCCATACGAGGTGTTGGTAGCTTCGACAGTTGGAAGCTTTGTCGTATAGGGCTTATTGTCCGGTTTGACTCGATAGAAGGTACATGATGAAGGGTCCGAGAATTTCCCTGCATTGTAGGCGAGCCTGGACGTGAAATATGCGACATGGTCATGGTAGCTTCTTCATTGACCGTGCCAGGTGTGGTTGGAGCAGATTCACTCGCTGGAGGTAAACTAGCTTTGGGCTCATTTTTGATGGACGCACCAGAGGAGGGAATATGCATAACAGTTTCAGAAGAGGGGTTTCGTTTGTTGCTGTCTGTTCTTCTCGTTGTTGTCATTTTGGCAATCTTTTCTCTTACATAGTTTATATGCTACAGATGCGTTGATGTTTCAATTTGACGTTTAAATACAAGTAACCTACCAGTGCGTTTATATCTTCGACCTCTCTGGGACTTTCACACATGTAAACACACAGATCGTCTGATTTAATGATATAGTTATTTTCAGGATTTAAGAGCATCTCTCGATGATCTGGGCTGTCTAGGTATGTCTTTATACCAAACAAGATGACTTGGCATTCAGTATACACCACCTACAGTAAAGCGAGTCAATCATTATAAAAGAAAATGATTGTTATTTTGCTTACCCATGCTGCTTCCTTGAATGAGAGACCAACCAGTGCTAAAGGAGGTCGATCCATATAGATTTCATTACATGACCCATCATCTGTTTTACCAATTATATATAAGCAGTCTGTTAAGGGCTATATAAATGCACTTACCATATTGTGCCTGCCAAGATTCATCGTAATGATCCATTGGACGTCTCTGATGTAGTAAATTAGTAAGTAAAGTCGACGCACCACGGCAGCGGCAATTCATAGCTAGTAGATACTGCTTAAATTCTCTAACACAAATGATTTCTTTAGCCATTTTTTGGTAAATGGCTGTGGATGGCGAAAGGTTATAGGTATAAATGTCCACATTATGAACTACTGTATGACAGTAGAGTGACCACAGTCTAACCGTATTGCGTTCATCCTCCTTTTGAGGATCTGGAGCATGCTGGTCTATTGAGCAAGTTGATGATTAGTTTCAAATATGTGTGATCATGTATTCAATATACCTGAAAGTGTAAAGATAGCAGACGCTGATCTTGCTTGCTGAAAAACAAATAATCAATCCCCTTCCTTAAAGCTTGTATAGAAAGTATGTTAATTACCACTCTTTTTAATGTTTGCTCATCCTTTGGACATAAACTGTAAGAAGCATGATAACCATATGTACTAATCAACACTCACCAAAACTGAACCATGTATGAATTGAATACGGTGTCCCCACATTGAATTTCTTTCAAGGTACTTTAATTCTTCATTAGGACGGTTTATATCCAAAAATACAACATTCAAATGTGGTTCTGTATTTTCCTTCATGTTTAAAGAAGAAGTGAATAAAGTTGCAAAAAGAACGAAAATAATTTATCTTACCGTATTCAAAAATCCGTCCAATATCTCTGTAACTTGTTCTGGTCGAAATGAACCAACAAGCAATATAAAAGGCTTTGATGACTCAGAGACATATCCTCCCCAGTCTAACCGTAACGTTAATTTGGAGTACTGCAGCATACACTTGCTTACCATTTCTTTTACGCAGAGTATTTAAAGCATCAGCAATCAAGCTGGGTAACACTGCCAATGATATTACGATCAGTAACATCATAACCACTCTGCTACCCTCAGTTTGCGGTGTTATGTCTAATAGCGATGTATATGTTATAAAGTGAAGCATTTACAAGATGCCGTTTACCTCCGTAGCCAACAGTGGATAGAGTTACCATAACAACATAAAGAGAGTCCAATATTGAATAGTTATTACTTCCAAATGTTACTTCACAGTATTGAAAAGCTGATAGACCGTTATAGAGTAATACCATGATGGTGCCTGCTAGATGTACCAATTTGGAATTGAGTGGATCAACAGGTTTTCCTAAAACATACTTGTTAATGAAATAATATTCATATGGTTTTTTTTTAGAGTACCTGTCATAAGAAGGTTGGTTTTTATCTTTATGACACTTTTGATTCTTAATAAAAGAACCCAGCTTCTAAGGAAATAAGGAACTAGGAGGTGGGAATAAATAGACATGCTTCATATTCTCCATTTTTATCATAAATTACCATAGAGAAATTGACCATGTTTGATGAAAACAGACATGAGAAATGGAAATGTAGTTAGAGCTTCGATAAAGGACCTGAAACTGAACAAAACACTCAATGGCCTTCCTGTCAAGATCATGCCTATTCATTATTCTTAGCAAAAGGAATGCTTAATCATTTGATAACTTACGCATGACAAACGAAGCAAAGTTCCATAAGCTTAAAATTATACAAAGAGACCTATCATCATTGGAAAATTAATAAGGATCGTATGAAACTCTTATTGTAATACCATAAATCGTAGGATCTCCATTTAAAAAGCCAATAAGGTTCAGCAGTAATACTAGCTTCCTCTTTCATCTCTACTAGGTATGCAAGACATAGTAATACATCAACAAGTAAATCTGTGTAGACCTAATTGGTAATGTTAAATGGCATAGGATATATCAATCATCAAAGCATTCAATTTACAAAGAGAATAATACTAGTGTTTCCAAAGAGTATCTCCTTTGCATTTGCAATACGAGTGTCATAGTGTAGGTATCTCTTTATACTTTGTAACTTTGTGTGAGGCAAAGTACCATTTCTAAGTTTCAATTGAGAACACTATTCCCCCTTTTTTCTCCTTTATACAAAAAAAAATACCTTTCATGAAGTCTTGCTTCTCTATACTTTTCACGAATTGTGCTCAAGTTTACTTTGTGTTTCCTAGAAATACGGCGATCTGAAGGTTTAATCGGAGACGAAACGTACTCTCTTACTTCTGCAGCACTATGAAATTTGTAAGTCAACAATTTGTGCAATTGAATAAACCATTCTTGTCGTACTTTTGGTCCAGTTCAGGTAAAATAAGGTCATCTGGCGATATCTGTATCACATCATCTGTGTTATCTTCTTCTTCAGATTGAGCAGCGCTCCTGACAATATGAGATAGCTTACTAACGAGCTTTGGTCTATTTTTATGGTGCTTCTGAAGACGTTTCTTTTTTCGTTTTGCTAATTTTGCAGAAGAAAATTCTTCACTGCTGCCACCATGATCAGAGTAGGGATCGTCGGGTAGCTGATTTAGAGAGGGAGCTGACAATCGCGATCTCTGGCCTTGAGTTGATCCATAGGTTGAATGTTGACTGTCTGATATTAAGCTGCTTTCTTCGTTATCCCTTGCTTCTATTTCCTTTAATACCATAAAATTGCTTCCCATCAAGCTTAGAGATAAGAAGGATAAAAAAGGGAAAAAAGATTGGCAGTAAAAATTTGAAGTTTCTATGACATTAGTGACACGGTCGGGGATGGAATATTTTCTTGTTTAGTAACATGAATACAGTTGTAACATCGATTTTGCTTCAAGACTTGGTTATCAAGATACGTGAATTGTGCAATAGATATATTATACGAGTAATATATAGATATATTTCAGAAATACGCAGCATTCCGCAGAAAACCGCTTCGGTTGATGACAGAAGCCATTGCACAAGGCAACACTCCATCATTTTGTATTTCAGCACTTGCAACAGGTTTGGTGGTCATTACGAATAAATGCATTTTCCAGCAAGAATGGATACGAAGCACGAAACATTTGGGATTATTCGTTCAGACAAGAAGGTTACATAATTAATACATTTTAACAAGGCTGGCCTCAGAGAGGTTTATACTTCAAGAGACTGGGCCTATTTCCAGATCCGGAAGCCCAAGTAGTGAATACATTCAAATAGAAATGGTCTAAAAGAGGATTATATCTATATTCATGATGAAATCTGATCCACAAAGTGCATTAAAAGATATAAGAAGATAAGGTCAAACAAGTTATGGCAGTCAGGCTACTGTGGCCAGCACAACATCGGTGTAGCCTTCTCTTGTAGATATGACAACTCTAGGCGCCCATACAAGCAAAACTCAACCACCAGTAGTCACTAGCCCTATGGATGTAATTTTTCAGAAAGGATTGCCGAAGGTTTAGCCTTTTAAGATGTAGGCTTTTTGGTTCAGTCGACAAGAAAAAGAATAAACAAGGCATACTATCATGACTGACAGGTTTGATATGTTTGACGTAATAAACATGAGATGGATGCTCAATTTTATAATCTTGAAGTGGTATATTGTTTTGAAACAATTACCACTGTGTGTATGTGACGTGAAACATAGCAATGCCCTCAGACATTGTTTTTCTCAGCTGACGGCTATGCGCAACAAGGAAATGTCGGATTGGGGTCAGTCTGTGCACAGAAAAAACATAAAATATTTGCGGCATAGAAGGATGTAAACTTGAGTCTAACTTAACTGCTTAATGAATTATCAACAGTTTGAAAAGTGAGCCGAGTGTCAACGATATCGATAGAGAATGGTTTATGATTTACAGTTGAAGAAATAAGTCTAGGACTTAGTAGGCAATGCTCATTTTGTAAGCAAGCTAAGAGCGCAAATTAGAATCATATGTATTTATTGTATTAAACTGAACATGTACGGCTTAATCAAGTAACGTTATCGCTGGTTTACTATATTGGTCAGTGTTTAAAGGAGAATTGCCACTTGTGCATGTCTAATAGATTGTGCCAGGTCATTTTTGGTAATGCTTTCTGCATGAATAGATTAAATAGAACATGTACGCTTTAGATACATTTTTAAAAGATAAAGCGTATATATTTTTTTTTATAATTCGCCAATCGTTTCTGCGTATATTTCTTGAGGTTGGAAATCGACTATTTCATTAGCCCTTACACCATCCCTGAAGAGCATGACTGCAGGCGAAGTATGAACATCATATTCAAAAAAAAAAGACCCTAAAATAATACGTTAACAATCACTATACATTTTGTTCTACTTGTACTTACAGGGAGGTGATATATTAAGGAATCAAGGAAGAAAACATCCTGGTATTGACTAGTAAGACTGTGAATGACAAGTTCTACATGACCAAATGAACTATTCCTAGGGATGTGTTTTAGAACATGATATAAAAATGAGAAGTTTGCTTATGAATGAACAATGTATTTAAAAGATAGAATGGTTAATCTATAAGTTTATTTATATATCTACATTTATATTCAAAAGAAATAGTTACAAATAATATTAAAGGGAGAACATTGAATTATAAAACTGTAAGAGACTGTTCTTTCACCAATCCAGCATATACACCATCCAGATGCAATAGCTCCCAATGGGAGCCTTGTTCAACGACTTTACCATTTTTAATTACACAAATGAGATCAGCGTTCTGAATAGTAGATAAACGGTGAGCAATCGTAATCGTTGTTCGTCCTCCTTGATCCAGAATAGTATCAATAGCCTTCTGTACTGCCTTTTCAGAATCACTATCCAAAGCAGATGTGGCTTCATCCAGTAGTAAAACTCTAGGCTTACGAAGTAGTGCACGAGCAATAGCAATTCTTTGCTTTTGGCCACCCGAGAGCTGTGACCCTTTGTCACCAACACGAGTTTTATAACCATCAGGGAGGCTAATGATGAATTCATGGATATTTGCAGCCTTACAGGCCTCTTCAATTTCTTGTTGACTAACTTCTATACCATCAACGATACCAAAACGGAGATTTTCTTCAATAGTCATATCAAATAATGAGGGTTCTTGACTAACGAGCGCCATGTGACTTCGAAGGTTGTGTAAAGAGTAGGATTTTACGTCTTGGTTATCGAGTGAGACTTTTCCTTCTAAAGGATCATACCAGCGCTGAAGCATTCCAATGGTTGTTGATTTACCGCAACCAGAAGGTCCAACAAGAGCAATCGTTTGGTTCGCTTTACCTTTCAAATTGAATTCACCATCAAAAATGGCTTGTTTAGGACGTGCAGGGTAACGGAACTTGATGTTTTCGAACCCAATATCTCCATTCAGGCTACCAACCTTTGGCTCGATACCTTCAAGATCAGGGTCAATCTTGGGTTGACGTTCAATGATACTAAATGAAGCAATAGCTGAGAACTTAGCTTTTGCAAACCTATGGATAAAACAAGAATCAGCCATCGTATTATTTAATATTATGCATTAATACTTACGTTGAAACAAAGGTTGAACTACGTCCAGCACTTTCAGCTGTTGTCATGATGACAGTCATACTCGTAAACATTTGAGGAAAGTCAATCATTCGATCCATGATAAGACGCACACCTGCATAGAATGCAACACAGCTAGTATAGATGTTGACGCCCTTATTTAACGAGTATGCAATGGAGGATAGATAGGCTTTCTTTAGAGCTAGTCGATGAGGTCTTTCGGTAGCATGTATGTATCTCTGTTCAAAATAATCTTGTTTGTTGAGAGATGCAACTGTTCGGACTTCACGAATAGCTTCGCCAGCAACTTTACCACTTTGAGCATTGGCCGTCTTGGTATTGTCTTCGAATCCTCTTTGAACTTGACGTTCATATGCAGTGGTAGCTATGATAATGGGTGAAAAGCAGAGGATGATCAGTGTTAGAGCCCAACTATGAACCATAGCAACGATAAGACCAAAAATGATGGTAGAAAACATAGCAACGACGTCACCCCAGACTCTAGTCACCAATTCGTTTACATTCTTTGCATCGACAGCTAGTGTAGAAATCAAAGAACCAGTATTATTATCTTCTTCATCAAAAAAGCCAACTTCTTGACGTAAATAAGCAGCAAACACCTTGAGACGTAATCGCTTTGTGTAATTTTCGCCGGCAACCTCAAATGCCCAATTTTGACCACCAAAGCCAAAGAATGCGAGTATACCAATGATTAAAAAGATAAATGCATACAAGTTTACACCTTGCATAGGTCCTTGTTCGATCACGGTACCAGGGACAGAGATAAGGACGATAATCTTTGAGAACAAGAAACCATAGACGGGGAAAACGCAGCCAGCAATAACAGAGGTGACAGTTCCGATAAAGATCCACATATATTCCTGGCGCATGTCACGAACTACTTTCCAGGTAGGAGCCTTTTGTTTCTTCATCATTTTCTTTTCTTCTTTTTCCTTTTTAAGCTTAAGTTCATATGCATCGAGTTCCTCTGGAGAGTCATCAAGTGTCTTTTCATTTACGGACAGCACTTTTGTTAGTTCATGTCCAGAACGACGGCTCATTTCTCGGGTAATTTTCTTTCGGAGAGTATTCATTTCTTCTTGTTCAAGTTGTTCCTCAGTCTCTGTATTATCAGTATCGTCGTCATCACTGCCTTCTCTCTTGGTATCAATCGTTTGTTTTCGTACCAAGTCGGCATAGGGGCCGTTCTTTGCGATCAATTCTTCGTGTGTTCCTTGCTCGGCAATTTCTCCATGATCCATAACCACAATAAGGTCCGCATTACGAATGGTTGAAAGACGATGGGCAACAACTACTGTAGTTCTTTTAGCAGCAGCTCTATCCAAGGCATTTTGAACAAGACGTTCTGATTGAGTATCTAACGCAGAGGTAGCCTAAGTTTAAAGAATAAGTATATCAAGTTCAAGAGAAAAAAATGTATATCATTTACCTCATCAAGTAAAAGAATGGTAGGGTTTTTCAAAATGGCACGAGCAATGGCAATTCTTTGCTTTTGGCCGCCAGAGAGCATGCTTCCGAAATCACCAACAATCGTATCGTACCCTTGAGGGAGCTGGGAGATGAAAGAGTGGCAATTAGCTTCTTTACAGGCTTCAATAATTTGTTCATTAGAGATCTTTTCTGAGGCTCCCATAAGCAAGTTTTGTCGAATTGTCATGTTGAAAAGGACAGGTTCTTGGCTGACTACACCTATTTGCTGACGTAACCATTTGAGGTTTAAGGTCTTGAGATCATGTCCATCCAGAGAAACTTGACCAGATAAAGGATCATAAAATCGCTGAATTAATTGGATACTAGTAGATTTTCCGGATCCAGAGGCGCCAACAAAGGCAACAGTCATTCCGGGCTTCACCTTTAGCGAAAGGTCTTTCAAGATGGTTACATCCGGACGTGTGGGGTACTTGAACATGACATTCTTGAACTCTAAGGCGCCTTCGACATGATCGGGGATTAAACCTTGGTTTGAGTCTGGATCAATATTGGGCACACGATCAATGATTTCAAAGATTTTGAAAGCTGCACCACAGGCACCTGAAACAGCAGACAAATTTGTTGGAAGACGAATGAATGCCATACATCCCATCATCATAGACAAAAAGACAACCAGGACAGTAGGGCCTGTCATTTGACTTTGACTGACAAGTCTGGCACCATACCAAAGAATTAAAGCATAAGATGCAAAAAACAAAAACATGAATGCAGCAAAACCTGCACCAATGGTTATACCACGCTTTATGCCCATCTTTCGAGCCTTTTCCAATTGAACTTCATAAAGATTTACCATTCGCTGCTGTAATGAAAAGGAGTAAACTGTTCGGATAGCGTTGAATGTTTGCTCTGCTACAGAGCCGGCATCTGCATATGAAGCTTGAGCCAACCTGATGTACTTTCTCATGTTATGACTCATAACAACAACTGTTATAGCCATGAGGGGTAACACAACCAATATCAAGATTGCTAATCGCCAGCCTTGTACAAATGCGACAACAACACCAGCAATGAACTGAGCAGCCAAAGTGATAATCAAACCAAACTTTTCTGAGATTCCATCTTGTATCAATTGTGTGTCTGTAGCTAGTCGAGTATTAAGCGAGCCTTCTCCTGCCTTGTCAAACCAGCTCATGTCTTGGCGTAAAACTGAATGAAGATACATAATTCTAATTCTGCGTGTTTGACTTTCACCTGTGAGAATCCACAAACAATTTGATGCATAGGCAGAAACCAAAACGGCAGTACCAAAATAGGCCATAATATGAATCACAGGAGCCGTGATATCGAGTAACGAATCGATATCTGACAGCGATCCTGTAAGTGTTCCCAAAAATCTTCCATATATTAAGATTGAACAAGGCTGTATAGCTCCTACAGCAATGGAAAGTATGGTAGCAAGTAGAATCAGAATGCGTTCTCCAAAGGTTGAGAATCGAAATAGTTGTATAATGGATACTGAGGGTTGTTTCTCCTTTTTTGGAGACTATATATGGAATAATTAGTCAACACATCTCTTTTTTACTGTTATGTACTTGCCTTATTTTCATTAGACATATTTCTAGATGTCTTCTATTCTATGTTTATATTATCTTTTTAACAAAAATGAAAAGAACTGAGAATCGTGCGCGGTTATTTATATACAAATCAAGAAAATGTACCGTTACACAACCACAACTCCGAACGCTTTCTAGTTTCTGCAGCATTTACACCGTTGGTCCATCAAATTCATTTCAAAGGTTGGATGACCACATTATCGCATATAGTGTTCATCATATTATCTACATAATAGGATGCTATGAGTTGATCCAAGGTAGTACACTCCAATTTCATGTAATCGCGCAGTAAGCTTTCCACGGAGGAACATTTTTCAGCGGAAAAAAGTAAATGCTTTTTTGCTATAATGTGTCACAGAAGTGCGCTAAACAACGAATTCCAATAATATCTGGTTGTTTAATCTTTATAAAATGATAAATAAGGAACGTATTAACAATGAAGTTCATTAAAATAACAATTAAGCACTATAGCGTACACTTGCATGCATTCAATATCTATATTTTCTATCCTTTGTTTGTACCACGAGTGTGAGTAATACGTGGATCACAAAAAAATTGTTCCATATATAGTAAAAGGTATTTCCAAATTGGGTGTATTTTCTAAAAAGTATGCTATGTGACTGAAGGCCTACCATTTATCGGATTAGGGTGCCGATTTTTCATGTCAGGAACAAAAATAAAGGACGTAAAGACGTAAAACGAATCATTTACTATAGTCTTTATTATAATATGACATGCTTATTTATGTATATTCAACATATTTTATTAGTTTGAGCACTTGTTTATACATATTAATGAGATCAAGATGACGGCGACGTTTCGGCGCCGTAGATACCAGAGTCCATTCTCCATACTTTAATTGATCCGTGTAGGTCAGCAGAGACAATGATCTGACTATCGGGATAATTAAAACACTGCCTTTCCTCTGGTATTGCCTCATCGAGTATAAGCTGTGAGTTTCTTTTGCTCTTTGAGTTGGGCAAGTGATTCTCTGATGATGATGCGCTACTATCATCTGTTCTATTTTGTGTGGTATTTCCATAATCGACTTCTTTAAATGCATACACAGGCGTGTTGTCAAAGATGATATCCCCTCCTGCACTTGCCAGCAATTGTTTAGTTTTTGTTGGAGCAAATGCTGTTGATGTGACAATGTGTTCATGCGCATGAAAGCTTTCGTCAAGACTGCGAAGTTTATGACTCACTTTTCTTCCACCTTTCTTCAGCCATCCCGATATACCACGGGATTGGTATTGAGGTAACCTTTCTTCTTGCATAATTCGTAATATTTTGCTCTCTATATTATTTAGTCTAGGTGATTTGATGTAGTTTTCATAGATGTGCTGGAATGGAAAGTATGTCACTTGGTCTGTACACCACAGGTATATGCGACCATCCTCTGATCCACTCACGATATAACGTCCATCATCACTATATATAAAGTCGTTTAGGACTTGAACAAACCAAGTGAGGGAAAGAAAGAATACCTGAACTTGGCTCTTATTTGCATAGTTGTGTTATCTAATCCCTTATACTTGTACATGATGCTCTTGTCTTTTATATTGATCATCCATATTTTAGAATCATTTGTTGTCACTATAATTCGGTTTTCACTTGATGGCAGATTAGGCATAGGCTCAATGCCAGTTACTTTCTTGCCATGTTTTTGACGAGCGCTTTTCACAAGGATTTGGGTATTAAACTTTAAGCCTTGAGTCTCAAAAAAGAACACATCTCCCGTACTTGCGCCTGCACAAGCCGTTTTACCATCTATAGTAAATCCTACTGCTGTAATCATGTTGCCACTTTGTATTTCATTCCAGAATGCAACTCGCTTTTCGGGAATACTCCAAAGCCGAAGTCTGCTATCCATTGACCCAGAAAGAAAAAACCGATCGTCCTGTAATATTACCTTTTTTAGCAATTCTATTATCCCTTTTTGAACGCAGCTTACCTTGGGATGAAACTTTACGCTAGTGACGATATCCAAATGCCGAAACACACACAAGCAGACGTCCTGGGATATATGCCATAACCTAAATCAGAGCATTAGATCATGTGACTGATGATTCAATGCTTGTTCTTTACCTGACAGTTTTGTCCATGGATCCAGAAATCAGAAAATTGCTCTAGGATAGTATCTTTGTTTAAGTATACACAGTATAGTGAATACAGCGTTAGAAATACCTTTGACCAACATATATCGAGAACATCAGCTTTATGTCCAGTATAGACTCTTATGGGAATGTCATGAAACACCTTGATGGATGGTTGATGAGGTGATATATCTTGTATACTCATATTATCGCTTCTATCAAGGTCTCTCAATACTTTCCAAACATTGATAACGCAGTTTTGCCCACCAGTAGCCATATACTTGCCATCCTTACTGAAGCTTATGGCCCATATTGCGTCTAAAGGGCGTTTGGCATCTTCTTCTTCATCTATGCCATTCACAGATAACCCAGCGGTGGCATAGACGTCAGTGGTATCTACTGCTAGCGTTTGTGCCAGCACAATTCGATGAAACCGCTTACTTGTCTTGAATTTAGTCTTGGTCTGAAACATAAAAGATGTAAGAGTTAATTTTTAATGAAAAGTGTATATACTCATATTACCTTCACATAAGGTTTATTATGGGGTGGTTTATTTGTATTAGGAAGCTGAAGCTGATTGTGTATCCCTACCAGCTGGACAGTTCGAGTTGATTTATCATTTTGATCTTGTGAAACAGTGCTTGACGCTGACCAGCTGCCCACTCGGTTCTGGTGGCGACGGTGTCTATTACCTTCTTTTTTAGTGCATTTAAAGTACAGTTGGCTTAATAATTACCTTGATATGCTTTTTATTGAACTCTTCATAGTGCGCTTTGGATCTGTAATGAATTATCATCAATAACACAATTTTTAGATTTGTTGTCAATAATAATTAATTACCATTACTACTGATTACTATGCTGCTGCTTGACCGTATTAAACTAATACTTCTTCTCTCGGTTTGATCCATATCTGATGTACTATGGGATACTGCTATTAAAGTGTAAGTTTTTCTTTATAATGACGGATATATTTGGCGTACATGCCTCCCTTTTTGACTGATTTCATATATATTTTATGTGATCGATTAATATGTCTTTTTAAGTAACTCACGTCAAAAAAGAAAGAAAGAAAGAAATATGACACAAGGTAGCGCCATTATTATGCGGGAACGTCTTTTGTAACACGTCAAATTTAAATGCAGATATTCACGATACGATTGGCTCTGATTTTGAATAGAACAGAAATCCTGTTCTATATGCTGTCCATAGTAAAGACTAGAGATAGGAGCAAGACAGTCTATAGGTTAAGACAAGTACTAGCTAAAAACTAAAAGTGTATGAGATATTAAAGTATGTTGTATACGTTATGATATACACTAGCCTGATTTTTTTTTGCAGATTTAACTAGAAAGAGTGGTCAAGTTGTAGTCTTCTAGCTACCTGTATTAAACATTACTATGTTTCATTAAATGGATTAAAACACCCTTGGTATTTATATTTTTAGACTCTACGATTTACTATTCTGCTTCTTTTTTTTCTTCTTGCAAGAATCAACAGCATTAGATTGACCACAATTTAATGAATAGAAGAGACCATAGTTACATATACTCATGAACAATAGACAAAAAAACTAAGCAGAGTGATCATGCAGAGAGAGAGAAAATCCGTAATGGCCCATTTGAGTGCATTCAAACGGAGGAGTTCATTGGATGAATTTAAATACAGCCATGGTGCGCACCAAAGTGAGATTGTCGCATAATCTCCTGGCAATCTCTTTTTTATTCTCAATGACGGTTCATTTCGGTAGTGCATTCAACTTGATTATCACAGCAAGTTTCTCATTCTTTAACAGATTATCTTGATTTAAAAATTGTGCAACAACTTATAGAAGAAGTGGAATGGAGTTCAGTGTCTGTATATTTAAGTGAAGTATTCAGCAACCAAGACTATGTCAGCGCTAGTTTTCAGCAGGTGAATACATGTAAAGAGTTGAATTTGGTATAAGTTGTTGAAGTATCATTTAGAAAAAACCTAGTCTAAAGGAACGTTGCCCTATCGACAAAGTGGAAGCTAAAAAGAGCTTTGAACTATTATCAGCACAAGTAAAGGAAAAAAGATAAGGAGAAAGGGAAAATGAACCAATATGTTTATTTAGTGGGCACTTTGGATTACTACTATTTCAGAACGATCTAAGCGACTTATCCAATCCATGACTCGCAACAACCAAGAGAATATCAATGCAGATATCCTAAACATCATTGTCATTTTATTTCAAGTAAGCCAAAACAATAGAGAAAGAGAAAAGGTATATTGACTTTCCCTCAAAAAAGTGTAGAGAATTTATCGATGTAAACAGCACAAAGCATCTCTTGCAAGAAATATGCGGATTTATCATCAAGTTGAATAAAGAGGAACAAGTTAGACTATTTCGATATTTAATAGAACCTACGCCTGAAGATCAAGATGATTTATCTCAGTTTAGGCATGTGCTTCAAATATTCCAAAGCTTTCTATCAAAGCGTTTACAGCTTCGTACTGGAAACTCTGGAGGTGTGTATCCAGACGTGTCTGTCATTGATGCAACCAAGTGTATTGCTGTTCTATGTAAGACATAATATAGAACTTGTCAATGTTAAGATACTCATGATCCCATAAGATAGTCTCAATGAACAGCAAAGATTAGTGTCCTATACAGAATTTTACAACGAGACTGTAAATGAGCAAATCGAGATAAAAGAGGACTTTCCAAATTACAAAGATAAAAAAGGGTACGCTTTTGACCATCTCAATCGAATTTCTAACAAGCTTTACCAGATTTTCATTTTGTGATTACCCCTTTTTGTTGAACCCGGCAGTCAAGGCAGATGTACTCAAGGTGGAAAGTGTGTATCAAATGCGACATGAGCTTCAAGATGCCTTCTTTCGTGCTTTATTTCAAGGTATGAATAACATTATAGACATGTATCTTTCTGACGAAAAAGGGCCCCTTTGATAGGTGTTAACAGCCCTTATCTTGTGCTTGAAATACGAAGAGATTATATCATCGCTGATACACTTCTTCAGGTATGTTTATCTAACACTTCATAAGTAAATCATTCACTATTTTTGGGATACAAGTTGGAAGAAAAGTCAATACATGATCTCAAGAAGCAGCTGAGAGTGCAGTTTGTAGGAGAGGAAGGAGTTGACGAAGGTGGTGTACAAAAAGAGTTTTTTCAGCTGATAGTTCGAGAGATATTTGATCCAAAATATGGACTATTCAATTATAATGAAGAATCGAGGTTATGCTGGTTCTCACATAATCCAGTACTAGACAATGTCAATGTCAGAGAATACAAGCTCATTGGATTGCTTCTCGGCCTTGCTGTATATAATAGTGTCATACTTGATCTTCATTTCCCACTTGCACTATACAAAAAACTGATGAATGTTGATGTGGGCTTGTCCGATCTGAAGCAGCTTGATCCTGTAAGACGATATATTGAGTCGAGCTTCCCCCCTTTCTGAAGCTTAATAATGTTGTGCTAGACTCTAGGGAAAGGCTTAGAGATACTCTTGCAGTATGATGGAGATATTGAAGCAGAATACGATCGCTCCTTTCAAGTTAGTGTAGAGTCTTTTGGACATGTGTTCACATACGATTTAAAACCGAATGGAGCAGAGATACAACTGACAAAGGATAATAGAATAGAATTTGTAGATCTTTACACCAAGTTTATCCTCGATGTTTCTGTGAAAAAGCAGTTTGAAGCATTTAAAGAAGGGTTTATGCTAGTATGTCAGGATAGTGCAATCAAGGTAATGATTTATAAAACACTGTACTGTTCAATGACCAACATGCTGGAAGATATTTAGACCTGAAGAAGTGGAGCAACTAATATGTGGTTGCTCCGATCTTGACTTTGAAGCGTTAGAGAAATCAACTGTCTATGATGGAGGATGGACAAAGGATTCTGATATTATAAAGTATGACCTCACATACAAGCAGATTCTCTATGTGACTCACACATCTTAGATACTTTTGGGAGATTGCACATTCCTTTTCTTATGAGGAAAAGAAGAAACTGCTATTTTTTGCAACAGGATCTGATAGAGTAAGTGGACGATATAAAAAGTATTACGCAGAGCAATAATTAATTTCTTAGGCGCCCATAGGTGGGCTCAGTAAGCTTCAATTTGTTATCGCGAAAAATGGAGGCGATTCTGATAGGTAGGTTTACGTTGATTAACTGAGGAACAATACTAACTATGATGATCAAGGTTACCTACATCGCATACTTGCTATAACGTGTTACTGCTTTGTGAATACAGTAGCAAAGAGAAGCTAAAAGAAAGACTGCTAACTAGTATAAGTAACGCAGAAGGATTTGGAATGATATAAGTATATCGATGAATTGATGCCTTAATAAATTACTTGGAGTGATAATGTTTCTAAGCAATATTATTAGATAATTTTTTTTTAATCTAGATGGATTTCATCAAAAGAAAAAGGGATGAAGGTTACTCTAATCTTTATTCAAAAGGAGCAATCACATTTTTTTGTTCAAAAAAGTATTCATTTAAAGCCATTGTTACAAGTATTTAAATTGCTTTTGCTCAAAGATGAATTGATTCAAATATGATAAGTTGTCATTCGTTTCACTGTTGCGTGGCTCATCTTTCTAGATACATAAATTATCTATCACTCGTCAAATAAAATGAAAGAGTGCTTCACTATGGAAATAGTAATTGTTGCTAGACAAGCTTTTGTACTTCCTATTGTATCCTCATTGCTGAACCACTGAAGGCTTTGAAGAGTACCTTTATTGTTGTTAGAAATCATGCCCATTACTACATGGATACTCACTTCTTCAACTGGCTGTGTCAGTGTTTCAGTGTGGTTACTTGTTGCCACTCAGCACCATGCTTGGCAATATGGTTCTCAATTACTTTCTTCCATTGTGCAATATCAGTTACAGGATGGTTATGTTCATAGCAGAGTCCATTTTAAAATGACAGTTGCAATTTCAGAAGATGAACACTACATGCAACAGAAAATACATCAGAAAATGAACTAGAAAATAGGCTTATTAATGTAAATACGAATTTATCGTGAGTAGTCTTTTTTTGATCAATTGACAACATAAAATTGGAATAAATGATAAATACAATACTTCTTTTATCTCTTTTTTTTTCTTGAAAAGAAACAAGCCAAGTTGGTGAATGTATAAAGACATGTTTAGCGCAACACTACACATTCAAAGGTTTTGTTGGATAACATCATAGGTAATGGATAGAGGTAACGTCTGTAGTATTAGTCTAACTTCTGGTGTATTTTCTGGTTCATGTAGTGTACGCCTGTACAGTTCTTAGATGCAGCAAATATTTCCGTCCAACTATATGGTGAGGAAAAAGAAGAAGAAATTGATATAAGCAAAGTGAAGACTTCTGATCATATACCAAGACAGATGGAAAATGTCAAGTTCATGGAATACTGAATAGTATCACAGACAATTCCCTTCAGTATCTATGTATTGAGAACACTTCCTTTCCCTTTGTTTCTTTAACTATAAGCATTCATTTTAACTAAGTCAAGTGTCATATTGTTGGTTTTTATTTTATAGTCACAAAATGAAAAATAATATTGAACCCCTTTTACACAAAGCGAGTATTTTAACTTCAGTCAACCTTTTAAACACTCCTATTGATTCTTTTTCTGTTTTCACTCTTATCTTGCTGAGCCTACAACAGCGACAATAAGATAGATATAAGTCTCACAGCAATTGCCTCAGAAAAATAAGCAAACACTCGATTGCAAGCACGATGTCCAGACGCTCAAGAAGGGCGTCTTTTTTTCATGGTGCATGGTGCAGAACAAGTCCGTTAGAGAAACAGTCATCGGACTCAAGATTGTGACGCGTACTGTCTAGAGATAGGTAAAAACGATTAAAATAATATTGATCTCGATGGTGGAAATACCCAGCAGAGCCAGCAGAAGTCCACGTCCAGTTGGAAGATCGTCTGACCTTGGGAAGCACATGCAACTTTTTTGAATAATTTGATAAACAAGCATCTACTCCTTGTCCTTGCTTAGATGATGAATAACTTGACGAAAGAAGTTTTAGCTACTTTTAATGGTTCTATTCTATTCTTTATATATATATATATTTGGCTTGCTCATTGGGCCGTTGCTGCAACAATGCTTACATGTTTGGCTTCATTTAGCCGGATAACTCTAGGGTTCACAAGGCTTGCAAGGTTTGGGTAGCTGACACCAGGAGAACGCAAAAATCGCTTTTGTTCAGTCTTGAGTGCTTTCAAAGCTTCCAATTTTTCCACATACGCCATCTACATTTTTCATGTGTAAACTTTTTTTCTCCCATCTTTTTGTATGAACAACTTGCCACCAAAGGCTTGTGGAACGTCACAAATGACTCCAACGTGAGATCCCTGTTGAAGTCAATAGGCACAGCCACACGCTGTTCCTTGATCATCACATAGACACTCTTGGCCGGAGTGGACATGCTCCAGTGACGAAACACTGTGCCTAAAAAATTGCATCGATTGCCAACAATGAACGATGTATACACATATAAATACTTACCATGACCAAGATTGCAGACGGATTTAGCTGCAGCTTTATGGAACTATCGAAGCTGTACGGTCAATAGTATACCCCAGGTTTGTTCATGGCATCTTGCATATGATTATTATAGACGTGATCGTTACTAAAGGAACGTGTTAATCACACAGTTTGATTTTATTCATGGACGACTCAACTAGACTTGTTATGCTTACAATTCGTCACAGATGTCGTTGTAATCAGCCTTTTATTTGAAAAAAAAGCTATTAAGTCAACAACTTGCGAGTTAAATTCTTGTTAAAGAAGAAGTAAGGAGTATTATTAAGAGATATAGAAATGCGTCGATGAGCTTCTATATCTTCTTTATTAAGCATAAAAAGAAAGAAATAAAGCTCATTATTTCAGCATCATTTTATATGAAAGCAACTTTTTAAGTCAGGTCTTCTGGCGATACAAATTTACAAGTACATTGTCCATTACTATGCCTTTGTATTTCATACGTGCCAGTGTCTTCAGGCACTTCATTTAACCAAAGGTCGTTTGCGATCAATAGTCTTGACACAGAAAATATATTGTCAATACACCTTGCTGAAAAAGTTATTTGTTCTTGAACTATTCTTTTATTTTCAAAATTCTTTATTGTTTCATATTCAAAACCTTTAATTATTATAAACACCAACATCCCCTTATAATAGATATTTTCTTTAAAAAAAATGGCCTTCTTTTTATATGAAAACAAGATTATCACATGAATAAGTATCACTAATGAGAATTGAACACTGCGCCTTTTTTTATAGATTATTATTTGAGGCGTAGCATGGCACAGAGCCACTTCTCCTCTGTACCATAAAAGTCGATAGCAATCCATTCAAGTATAAAAAGTACTAACCAAGGGACACTTCAATATCTATTGGAGTAATCGAATCTAATGATTAAAGCTAGGTAACTTAATTATTTAAAACGCTCTTTTACAATTGTTAATACTTTGGAGTTCTTCTAGTGAACAGTGCACACATTGCACGATTTCTGGATACGGTATATCTTCCCCTAAACCCTTATGAAGAAAGCATGTATGAGTTAAAGCAAGTTGCTATGAAAGAAATGCTTTCGCCAGTATGGCGGTATTCGGAGATCCTGATGATGCTATGCAGTACAACCAATGCAATCACTTCAAAATGGAGGGTGTACCAGCCTTATGGGAGTTATTAAACAGAGTGATTATATGTGCAAAGTAGACTTAAAAGACGCATATGTAGTAATACTGACTCACAAGAACCCTAGCGATTCTTTGATCTTTTTATATCAAGGTGTGGTATACCGATACAAGGGTTTAGTATTTGGCCTCGTTGTGGTCCTTTGGGGCTTCTTCAAGCTCGTAAAGTACATCCTGGAGCCATTACGCTAGTCTGAGAATCAAGTTTGTCTTTTATCTCGATAACATATGTGTACTTGTTATTATTCAGTGCTTAAATATAGTCAACTCTGTTGAAATACCGCAGCTCCTTAATGTATAAATGTTCTCTTTTTTTCTTTATTTATTCCAAATAAAGATACAGTGAAGGTCTGTAGTATATATGTGTGGTTCTTTTTTTTTTTCATAAAAGAATGATGCGCATTCAGAAGCTATAGAGAAAGTTAAAATCGTATTATGTCCGTTCCAACTAAAAAAAAAAAAACAAGAGTAATGGGACAAGAAGATACTTACTTTGTGTGAACATGTTAATAAAAAAGTAAATTTAAGGTCTATATAACACTATTCGAGTTTAATGCGCATAAAGTCAATAAACCGTGTTGCCCTTTGAGTGTGGGAGATACCAACACCTTTATATTTTCCATTTTGTAAGTACCTGATTGAAGATATATCATAAGCACATATCAAAAGCAGTCCTTATTCTCTGTGGTATTATCATCAAAAGGACACACCAAGATTTTACTATGGGTTATCTTACACAGACAGGACTTTTTTTTATTTCTAAAAATATACAGTCAATCGAGCTTATAGATCTCTCTCTTTTTTCAGTAAATGTCATTTTGGAAGCCTGGAACAGTTGCACCTGGTAAATATATTGTCAATAGTAACATATACAAAGTGTGCACTAATCAATCGTTAAAGGCAGTGCAGTTGACCGTGATACAGAAAATGAGACAGTTGATGCAGTTGTTGCTCATGCAGAGAAGCAATACCGTCATTTGACATTAGCTCAACAAAGAGAACGTTTACCAGTATTTAAGCTAAGAAAAGAAATTTTATACTTGCTTGAAAAGTTTCAAACCGTGATTGTGGTTGGACAAACGGGCAGTGGCAAAACAACTCGTAAGTCATTTCAACAATAGAGACTTCTTTATCTAATATAATCTAGAAATTCCACAATATTTAATGGAAGCGGGTTGGTCAAATGGAGGCAAGCAGATTGCCTGTACACAAGTAAAGAAAATAAGAAAATAAGAGTATAACATTAGATTCTTATATTTTGATAGCCTAGAAGAATTGCAGCAACCTCTGTAGCTCAACGTGTAGCAGAAGAAATGAATTGCTCTGTAGGTGCAGAGGTTGGTTATTTAATTCGATTCGATGATCAAACAAGCGATCGGACCAAGGTCAAGTACATGACAGACGGTATGCTATTTCGTGAAACGATGATTGATCCACTATTGACAAAGTACAGCGTAATTATGATCGATGAGGCGCACGAACGAAGTTTGTATACAGATATACTCATCGGCGTCATTAAAAAGTAAGAAATATGGGAAAAAGATCATGTCTGTAGTCTTATGTTATATTGTTAGGATTCAAAAGAAAAGACCAGAATTACGTGTCATCATCTCTTCGGCAACATTGGATGCGGATCAATTCTATAAATTCTTTAATACAAACACAACTAAGGATAGATCCAAGGATACGGCAACAATCATCTCATTGGAAGGTCGTATGTACCCTGTAGACATACTCTATTTGGATGAGCCAGTGTCAAACTATGTAGAAAAGACGATACAGACTGTATTTGACATTCATACACGAGAACCAGCAGGCGATATATTGGTGTTCTTAACTGGAAGAGAAGAGATTGATACTGTAGTAAGCGAAATCTACGATCGCGGAAAGACGTAGGTATTTATTACTAGATAAACACAGTCTCTGATCTATCTGTTAGACTGCCCAAGAATAGTCTCTCCATCATGCCATTACCACTTTATGCTGGACTCACAATCGAAGAGCAACTTCAAGTGTTTGAACCAACACCGAAGTACAGCAGAAAAGTGATTGTTTCTACAAATATTGCAGAAGCCTCAGTGACACTGGAAGGGATTGTATATGTGATTGATGCTGGCTTTGTCAAGGTTAGAAAGAAACAAGAAAGATAAACCAATGACTGACACCATTCACTAGATTCGTGCATACAACCCAAAGACTGGGATGGAAGCTCTCGTAGTAACACCTGTGTCGAAAGCATCGGCCATGCAGAGAGCAGGACGAGCAGGACGTGTGAGGCCAGGAAAGGCATTTAGATTGTACACAGAAGAGACGTATAACTCATTACGAGATACAAGTATACCCGAGATTCAGAGGTAAGTTGAGTGCATATAAACTTTATAATGTACAATGCTCATCTATACATCTTAGGAGCAACTTGGCGCCAGTGATCTTACAGCTAAAGGCACTAGGAATCGACAATGTGCTTCGATTTGATTTCATCACACCACCACCTGCAGAGCTGATGACAAGAGCACTAGAACTCTTGTATTCGTTAAAGGCATTAGATGATGTAGGAAGATTGACCATACCTCTTGGTATGCATCTTGCAGAGTTCCCTGTAGACCCTATGCTTGCCAAAATATTGCTCGCATCCAAGGACTACGGCTGCAGCCATGAGATTGTGACCATTGCCGCCATGATGTCTGTCCAGAATATCTTTACACAACCTGCCAAGGTACCCAAGGACATTCTGTCGGAGGCAAGACGTAAATTCTGGGTAGAAGAAGGAGATACACTCACGTGGATCAATGTATATAATGCCTTTATCAACAAGGGCAACAAGTCTGGCAAGTGGTGTCATGATCGATTTTTGAATTTTAAAGCCCTTTCAAGAGCCATGTCCATCCGTCTTCAGCTTATGAAATATCTCAAACGCTTTGACATACCACTCGTCAGTGCTACCTCAAAGTATCCAAACACAGCCGAGGGAAGACAAAGGGCAAGCGAAGATGTACGAAAGTGTATTGCGACTGGTTATTTTGCGAATGCTGCCATTGCAGAGCCAGATGGTAGTGGACGGTTTAGAACGATTAGAGATAATGTGGTGCTTCATATTCATCCAAACTCGGTGTTATTCAATCGTAATCCAAAATGTGTCGTGTTTCATGAGGTAGTCGAAACCACCCAAGCTTACATGATGGATCTTACTGTGATCGAACCGGAGTGGTTAGCACATATTGCACCTCACTTTTATGAATACAAACAACAAAAGAGATAAATAAAGTCTTGATTTTATTTACATTTATATATATACTTTCATCAATAGTTCTTTACTGGCGCCTCTGGCCAATACTTTCTTCGTGCGCCTGCAGGTCTGAAGGGTGGTGGTTCTAATTTATTTTGAGAGGGCATGATGTTGGGTCTAAATGGTGGTAATTCTGTATATTGTTGTCTTTGATCATGCTCTGGCTTAGAAGGCACTTGTTCTTCCTCAAATTGTTGGCTAGAATCAAATTTGCCTGTCGATAACTCACCAGGACGTGGTCGAGTCCAGAAACGAGTTGTGTGATCGTTTGAACCAGATACCAAGATATGACCGACAGGATGCCAGTCTAAAGACCAGACATTTGATTCATGTGCCGTCTCTTGTTCTCCCGCAGGTTGGTCTTGACCCACCATCCAAAACATCAATGAACCATCTGAACCACCTGTGGCTAGTAATCTTTCATGTTGAGGATGCCATTTGGCAGCTAAACAAAGTAAAATATCAGCGTGTGTTGCATAAAGTATATATATATGTATGTATTACAGCAAATTTCCTTCTTGTGGCCTCTAAATATTTGTAATTCCTTCATGGTTCGAATATCATATACTTTAACAAGTTGGTCTCTACCAGCAGTGACTAGCCAGTTTCCGTTTTGATTCCACTGTAATGCCAGTACTGTATTCTTATGTCCATGCCTAAGAATAGATTTATTAGCATGCTTTTAAGTTTTCTTTATATCTTTCTTTACAATGTTGTAATATTCTTTGCTGTCTTTGGATCCCAAAGCTTGATGAGGTTATCTTTACTACCAGAAGCGAGCAATGCCTTATAAGGATGCCAATCGACGCACTTGACATCCCAACCGTGACCCGAGAGTGCCTTTTCTTCTGTTCCTGTATTGAAATCCCAAATCTTGATCATGGAGTCATCCGAACAGGTGGCAAAGCGGGTATCTGAAGGAGCAAATGTCAAGTCTCGGATCGCTTCTTTATGGCCTTGAAACATCTTCAAGTTGCTCATGTTGGACTGCCAATACTTGATCACTCCACTGTGGTCACCGGTGACCATCCAATTGTCGTTATGCGACCAATTCATTGCGCGTACGGCTGAATCGTGTGCTTGTAAAATGGTTTCAAAGTTGAATGTAAGGCCGTTCCAAAGAGTGAATTCACCACTTGAAGAACCAGTGATCAAACGTCGTCCTTCAGGTGTCCACTAGATTATAATTGTCAATCAATGTGCGTGCCTAGTTTCTTTTTCTCTTTTTACCTTCACCACATTCACAGGGTATCTCACTTTGTTGGTTGAAGTATGAACAAATTTGGTTGTTACCGAATTCATGGGATTGTCAATATATGCAACAGGTGGTAAAAGCTATACAAAATGTCTTTTTGGTTGGTCAATGATTCAAGTTGTGTGTGTGTTTAACATTACATCAATTATAAAGTTGGGATCAGGTCTTAGAAACTTGATATCTCTTTTATCACGTATCCATACTCGTTCCTAAAGAGAATGTTATTGTCGATTTTTCTCTTTTTTCTATTCTATGTTTACCTGCATCCATCTCGCAACACTGTGATTATAATCTACTGTTCTTCTTTGAATTGCTTTTCTCATTCTTTTTCCGTCAAATACCATTTTAGAAAACGGTATATTGCCTCCTTGTCGAGGCCTTCCCATATTTCCGTCTTGATTATAGTTGGCAGCCATGATATTGTTTAAAAAGAAAAAAAAAGGGTAATAATGACGGGTTATTTTTGACTCGTTTTTTATTAAAAATTGGGTATCATTTTACTAGGAGTAAATGTCTAAACTCCAGAAGGAGA